GAAACTCCCACGTATATTCGGAATGTCTTGTTGCGAATCCACTGTCAAGAACTTGCTCCACGATATCTTTTCGGCATCAATCTTAGTCGTGATCCATATGTCAAACTCATATAGATTTACTTCGTTGTGCATAAGTAAAGCTGCAAGCTTCTCTTCTCTAACACAAGATAAAGTCACATGGTCATCATACCCGGCACTAAATGGCAGAGGTAGAAGCGGCCCAAATCTCTCTTTTGTATAATCGAAACAGATTATGTGATCTTTGTGTCCATGGTGTCCGTCCACTTCTGAGTTCCTTTCTGAAGCACAAAAGTAAGTGTTTCCCTCAAGGGAAACGCCACGGTTACCAAACGGTACTATGCGCCAGTGTGGAGTGACATCAAGAGTCGTCCACAAATCAGAGTCAAAATCGTAGATTTCATAACATAAAATTTGTCGTTCGGGTACACCGCGAAAATAATCTATAAACCTCAATAATTTGTAGCTACGACAAGATTTCTTATCCTCGTATCCGAGAGCGTAACTGAAGCTATCACATTCGTCTCTGCGGTGAGAATAACTGGGTTTGATCCACCTTGTTTGCCCCAAATACGGATTCCAAACCACAAACCTAGTACTGTCTTTGAAGATGCATAAGACTAAACCCTCGCAGTAAAAGACTTGAGATATTGTGACTTGATCAGAATCGTTTAGGCAAGTAAGTTTACCTTTATGCTCTATATATGGATCAATATCAACTCCTTTGAAGAAGACACTGATTAGATAAAGATTGCAATCCATCAACATGATCATTCGAGTCTCCCCTTCCTTTATTGCTGCTGCTTCTTTACCTATTTGCAACTTCATAAAGCTCGGACTTTGGGATAAAGCGTTCAACGTTTTGCAAGTTAATCGCACTGCTCTCATATACTTCAAAGGAACTCTAGAGACAATCTCCTCTATCAAATCCCTTGGAAGATTCAATATCGCCATCGTCGTTGTTTCAAAATTGCAACACAGTTTTTCCTTTTTTTTTTTTTCCTGATTTCTTACAGCATAAGTAGAGGCTAATATATAAACTATAAACTTGAAAACTCGTAAACCCTAAATGAAGCTGGGCCAACAATGGGCTTCAGATTTTTTTTTTTTTTTGTAATCACATTCATAACGTTTTCAATGATAAAATCGAAATTTAATTGCTTATTGTAAACCCCAAACCTGTTTTCAATACATTTTCACAGACAAGGGTTTTTAAATGTTTTCTGTGCCGCCTAGAGAGGAATATCACCATGAAAAAGAGTAAAATCACCGTGAAAAGAGTTTGGGAGAAGGAGACGATCGCAAAGAACGATGAGGAAAACTCAGTCTCTATTCCTCTAGATCTGATCAGAGAGATTCTCACAAGATTGCCGCCTAAACCCTTAGTCAAGTTAATCTCTATTTCAAAGCTCTGGTATTCTACAATCCGAAAGAAAGATTTCACCGATCTTTTCCTGGCTCGTTCGTTGACTCGCCCGTGTTTTCTCTTCACATTCAGTTATGCCGCCGCCAACAGGTTCTTCTTCAACTCATTCTTTTATAAGTCACCATCCTCTCTTCATCGTAACACTACATCATATACTACTCTGGATCAAGATTATACGATTTCATCACCAGTCCGCGGCTTGATGTCTTGTCAAAATGGTTCTAAAGTGGTAGTTTTCAATCCTAGCACAGGCCAAGTCCTAGCTTTACCTAAAGTCAAAACTAGGAGAAAGAGCGTATTAAGCTTTTTGGGATATGATCCTGTTGAAGATGCATACAAAGTGGTGTGCATGACGATGATCCAAGTTCTTTACCAACACAGACCATTTGTGTGGGGAGAGCATCAAGTTTTCACTTTAGGAGCTGAGACGAAAGAGTGGAGGCGTGTTGATTGTCACATTCCACATTTCCCTGCAACTCTAGGGTTGTGTAAGGACGGAGTTGTGTACTATGGAGCTTGGTCCGACAGTGATCGCAATGAATCTCTAGTAGTGTCTTTCGACGTGGGATCTGAACAATTTAGGTGTTTGAAATTACCTAATGATGTCGAAATTCGAACTAATCATCGATCTGAAGTGGTGAACTATAACGAGAGGATAGCCTTGGTGGAACAATCATATGGTGGTGTAGTTGACTTGTGGGTTCTTGATGATGTCGAGAAAAAAGAATGGTCAAAGAAGTATCTTGTGGTTCCTTCTTGGAATGATTTAGTTGGACAGAATTACTATTTCCGTTGCAGGGGTACCATATGTACCGGCGAGTTTGTATTTACACCACACTCTCAGCCTAACCCGACATTCATTGTCTACTATGATCTCAAGAAAGATAGTGCTACAAGAGTGGAGACTGAAGATGGCTTTCCTATTACGAACGTCTTTTTGGATCATGTGGAGAATCCTATGTTTCTCTAGAGGTGAGTCTGTTTGTTAACCACTAGTGTCTGGTTTTTGCATGAATTTACAATCTTATATGTTCAGTATCATGTAAGGTCTCTTAAGATTTGTCCTTATTGGAATTGAATCATTTGATCACCCATTTGTGTGGTCTTGTTGCTTTATGACTTATTTAAAGCTTCAGTTTTTATATTTGGTTATAATAATTGGAGAGAACCAGAAATTATGCCTTGTATTAGTCTAAGATGAGTCTTTAATTGGAAGTGAAAGCTTTGTGAAGCTAACCCAATAATTGCATAACTCTGTTTCATCATAAGGCTATCATGGCTTGAGAAACAGAGTAAAAAGTTATGAAAGTTACATACTTGATTGATCCAAGAGCAGAGGAATAAAGGTCTGAATTCATCAAACGTTCTAATCTAGTATTTACCATAAATAAAGATTAACGATAGAGTAATCTTTCTTCAAAGAGAAGAAGAGTAAATGAAAGACATAAATTAGGCTTTGTAAATTGACTCTAACTATGGTTGCATGATTTTCACTAAACTTGGAACATAAGACCACACATGTGGTATACGATGGAGTTCGTTGGCCTCTCCAATGATATTAAGTTAGGGGTGATTCCAGTCACAGTCAATGAAGAAACTCAGTAGGTAAATTCAAAAAATAAACTTATTAATAAGTAACATAGAAAGAAGTAAATCTACTATGAATAAATATGTCGACAACAAAAATTATCAATCGATGAAAAAAAAAAATTAACAGTTCAAAAAGTCGACTATGTTATAAATCAACCAATCAAAACATAAGTGAGTGTTTTAAAATAAGTCGATCAAGAAGAAAATGAATCAACATAAATAAAAAATAAGTTATAGTTAAAAAATTTGACTTTATTAATAAATCAACATAGAATAAATAAGTCTACAAAAAAATCTATAACTTACTTGTTGTAGATTTTAAGCATCTGAACTAAAACGCTAAATCAAATAAAGAGTTCAATTAGTGCTATGTAGTTTACTCCACATTGCTTATGCGGTAGTTCTGCATATCTCTCATTCAGCAGTCCTTCACAAGGTCTCATCTGGTTATATTTCAAGAGGTGTAATACCTGCAAATACATCCACTACAAATTGAAAGTTGTAAGAGAAACACTCTAAGCAACACATATACACATCTTAATCATTATTTCCAAGATGACATCAAGAAAATTACCTTGAGATGCTAAGGCTGGAATACTTTATTGAAAGTGAATGACTTTCGAACATTACCATTTGCAACTCTGATAGTTGACTCGTCTGTGTAATCCATTGTAGATTAATGCCCATGCAACAATGGTCTCACTCTACAGTAAACCGTTATGCTTCTTGTTGAAACTATTTCGCTTAGATTTATTACCTTTGAGATCTTCAACTTGATTGTGCAATTTGTGGACATGGTGTCATTAATTACTGTCCTTAGCACCTTTCTAATTAGTTTAGTTTATACTCTCCATTTTTATTTATTTAATGTTTTAGAAATTTTTTTTGTTTTAAAATATATGATATTTTCAATTTTCAATATAAAATTAATTAGTATTGATTTTGACTAATAATATTTTGCACATTATTTTTCTGTTGGTTAAATCGTGTTTTGGTAGATAATAAATGCTATTTTGATTTAGAAAAAATAAAATAATGATCTCATTCTTTAATCAGTGCGTAAAAACCTTAAACATCGAATATTAAAAAGCGGAGGGAGTAATTATATAATCAAAGTGTTTTAGACTCTTAGTAAACTAAATTATTAGCCATATGAAAAGGCTTAGATGATGTCTAATATGAAGGTGGGTCAACCATGGGCTTAAGAACCTTATTGGAATTTAAAACAGTTGAATTGGAATTGAAACAGTATAAGACGAGGCCTTAATGGAATTGGAACATTTGATACGTGGAAGCTGCCAAAACACGCGTCCATCTTTAATTAAAATTAAATGTTATTTTTTGTTTTGTTTTTGTGACATTTAATATTTACTTCTAGAAAGTGAAGATCAAGTAAACATGCAGGTAATTTATAATAAGATTAAAATTACGATACGTATACCCATGAATTTGATTTAGTATGCAATTTTTTATATTTAAAGAAAATATATTAGAGTAGATAAAGGAGAGGAAGATATTGTAATCTTTTTGTTATTTTCTCTACATTTCATCTTTTAAGGTAATTAATCAGAATTACGTTTTCTTGTTGGCACATTTAATGCCATTTGCGGCACTATTTTGGAAAAATAAAACCTTTGAGAAGAAAACACTGTTGCGTATTAGACACGTGTTTACTAAAGACAAAAGAATTTGGTTTTGCCCAGATTTTTGTTGACTCTTTGACCCGATACGTAAAATCAACGGCGTTGAATTTTACACGTGTCAAACATTCAAGTCCAGTTAGATGTGTGAAATCTTGATTGGTCGGAAAAGGGAAATTAGAAAAATGCAAATAAAAGCTAAAGAGGAAAGAGGAAGCTAAAGCTTTGAGGTCGGAAAAAAGGAATTTTGATTTTTTTTAGGGTTTTGCCCTTTTCTTCTCTCGTGCGTTATCATCGGTGTTTGATTCTCCGGCCAAGTCCCGGAGACTTGTGATCTGGGGGAATTTGGTGTTTAATTTCATTAAGACGCGATGATCTCGTCCAAAAACGGAGCTGCGATGATCTCTCGACCTGTGTTTCTTTCCGATCGAGTTGATGAAGTCTTCTCTAGGAAGCTTGATTTGTCTGTTTCTTCTTCGTCTTCTTCGAGTCTCCTCCAGCAGTTCAATAAAACTCATGAAGGTTCTGATTTGTCACGAGCTTAATTTTTTCTTTGTCTCTTCTTTGTGTAATCGCAGCTGATCCTTGTGGTAGTTAGTTTCCATCTGTTTTACTAAGAACATTAGGTTGTGCGATCTAATTTTCCTTTTTCTAGGTATAATTGGTATGTTTAAATTCAAAGATCTTAGATTTGGTGAAATCAAACTTGCTACTAACTGCAACTTGTGACTTTTGGGAATTCTACTTTTGGGCGAACAAAGTTTCTAGCTTTGGTTATTTGGTTTGTTTGTTTAAGGATAAAAAGCTAATTTCTTTTGGGAGAATGTGACTGGTAATGATTTGTTGTGTTGATGATTATTGTAAACGTTTGGTGCAGGGGATGATGACGCACGCCTGGCTCTTGCTCATCAGCTGTACAAAGGAGGAGATTTCAAACAAGCCCTAGAGCACAGCAACATGGTTTACCAGAGAAACCCATTACGTACTGATAATCTTCTTCTTATTGGTGCCATCTATTACCAGGTACTATATTTCTCCTTGTCTCATCAGCCATTACTCTATCCTTTTGTGTTCGGTGAAGTAGTTGTTTACTTTTATGTTATATGCCGTGCAGCTCCAAGAGTATGATATGTGCATAGCTAGAAATGAAGAAGCTCTTCGTATTCAACCTCAGTTTGCTGAGTGTTATGGAAACATGGCAAACGCGTGGAAGGTGAGAATGGCTTGGTCTTTACCTGATCAGGTGGTTTTATTACCAATTCATATATACTTATATCTGTAATCTGCTATTTCCAGGAAAAAGGGGACACTGATCGTGCAATCCGCTACTATTTAATTGCAATTGAGGTGTGCTATATCCAATTTCTGCTTCTCGATTTCTGCTAATCACTTCTCATCCTATACTGATGCTTTTACTTTTTCTTCATTTTCCCCTTGCTTACACTTTCTTTTCAATATAATTCTCAGCTGAGGCCCAACTTTGCTGATGCTTGGTCGAACTTGGCAAGTGCATACATGCGAAAGGGAAGACTCAGTGAGGCAACACAATGCTGTCAGCAGGCCCTCTCATTGAATCCACTTCTGGTAATTGACTTTATAATCCTTCTATTTAAGTTTTCACTGTTTCTGTCTCACTACTGCTGGGAGATTCACTGTCTATCTTCTTTTGGTCGTCTTCTCACCTGGTAATGTGAACTGTTCTTAGGTTGACGCACATAGTAATCTGGGGAATCTGATGAAGGCTCAAGGATTGATTCATGAAGTAAGTCTTGCGAATTAGTCTATTTAAGTTATTCTGTTCCTGTTCCAACCCTTAAAAAGATAATCTGCAATTTTCTTGTGCCCTAGTTATGGACGCAGCCCCTTATTCTACAATTGATTGATCAAAGTTTTGTCATTGCAGAAGAATTTTGTAATTGAACGAAAATAAATTATAACTAAATGGACGGTGACGTGATGCACTAGGAATATAGCATCACATCTGTACTCGTTTTACTAGTTTATCAACTGCAATTACTAATAGATGCATTCATTTTTCTGTGTTGTACTGTGTCATAATCCACAATCAATACAGACATCAAGTTGTTACTGAAAGGCAAGCAGGGATGATCGTCAGTCTTATAGTCAGTATCTTCTGCGAGAGTCCAAATAGTTAGAATGTAATATTTTGTGCAGGCATACAGTTGTTACCTTGAAGCTGTTCGTATACAACCAACATTTGCTATTGCATGGTCGAATCTTGCTGGTCTTTTCATGGAGTCAGGTGATCTCAACAGAGCCCTTCAATACTACAAGGTATGCTTCATTACCTCCTAGAAAGATCCTGTCGACATTGTGGTATGTGTGCGTTTTTTCCCAGATTATATTCTTAATGTTTTAACTATGTTGGCTGATTTTCTTAATTTACCAGGAAGCTGTGAAGTTGAAACCTGCATTCCCTGATGCATATTTAAATTTAGGAAACGTGTATAAGGTATGTCTACGTATAATGTGTTAAGATATGTTCAGGGCAATAATGTTTTCTGACAACAGTAGTAACAAAATTTTATATTTCTATGTTTTAAGGCTCTTGGAAGACCTACAGAAGCGATCATGTGTTATCAGCATGCCTTACAGATGCGGCCAAATTGTGCAATGGCATTTGGTGAGTGTAATTTGATCAATTAAATGCTTAGCTGAAATAAAATATACTTGCCCAAGTAAATGCATGACGTCTTTTTCATAATTGACATATAACTACTAAATGCAGGGAATATAGCCAGTATATACTATGAGCAAGGTCAACTGGATTTAGCAATTCGACACTACAAGCAGGCTATCTCCCGGGATCCACGATTTTTGGAGGCTTACAATAACTTGGTTAGCATCAACAACACACATTATGTGGGGTTTGTGTCTGAACTATAATTCTCAGTATCTAACATTTGATATTTTTTGCATTTGCAACTTGAAGGGTAATGCATTGAAGGATATTGGGCGAGTTGATGAAGCAATTCGGTGTTATAATGTATGTGTGTTTTCCATCTAAGACTGACTAGCGAATTTGCATATTACTCACAAACCTGTGGTTGTACTGCAGCAATGTCTTGCTTTACAACCAAATCATCCACAAGCAATGGCTAATCTTGGAAATATTTATATGGAGTGGTATGTGATCCTTTCTTTCTTTTTGTTAGATAGAAAATATTATAAATTACCATAAACTCCAATTCACAACTTGAAACAGGAATATGATGGGTCCTGCTTCCTCATTATTCAAGGCTACTCTGGCTGTAACTACAGGGCTATCTGCTCCGTTCAATAACCTTGCTATAATTTATAAACAACAGGTGGCTACGTGCTCCATTATCAATTTTAATCATTTTTGTAGTTCTGCACATGTTTGACAAATTTAGCTTGTTTTTTCTCCTTTACTACAGGGAAATTACTCGGATGCTATATCCTGCTATAATGAGGTTCTTCGTATTGACCCATTGGCAGCTGACGCTCTGGTTAATAGAGGGAATACTTACAAAGAGATCGGGAGGGTAACTGAAGCTATTCAGGATTACATGCATGCTATTAATTTCCGACCTACAATGGCTGAAGCTCACGCAAACCTGGCCTCAGCTTACAAGGATAGGTAACCATTGTCTTTATCTTGCATTTATTATGTATATCAGGTACATGTTCAAATACCGCTTACCTAAGAACAGAGCCAAAACATCTTTACCTTGAAGGAAAAGATCTTACTCGAGAAGAATTTTGTGTATTACACTGTTCTTGAATAGCTTATGGTGTCATATATCTTAAAATTACTGACAATTGTCCTACTTCACTAGAAGCCTTTGTATCTCTACGTACAGTTCTTAAGTTGGTTTCGTGTTAGGCTCTTGTTTTCTGGGATTTAGAACATTTAAGATGTGGCAGTATAACAATGGATCAGTAACCACCTTTTAACTGAGGAGTTAGTATGCTTGACCAGAAAAATATTTGTTCTTCTATTTATGTGTTTGTTGGACCTTCTTGCATAAGCAGTGGGCATGTGGAAGCTGCCATTACGAGCTATAAGCAGGCCTTGCTACTACGACCAGACTTCCCAGAAGCAACGTGCAACCTTCTGCACACCTTACAGGTATTTATTTTTCCTGGTTTGATGTCACACGTCTGTTATGAAAGCTTCTTTCTCTATTTTTCTAGCTCTTGTTAAGTCTCCCTTCGTCTTCTTTCCTGCTGCTGTACCAGTGTGTATGCTGTTGGGAAGACCGTAGCAAAATGTTCGCTGAAGTTGAAAGCATTATTAGGAGGCAAATAAATGTAAGTATTTTACGCCACACAAAATTTGTGGTACTTTTATACTATTACAGATTAAGGTGATAGCATATCCTATTGATCCTATCTTCAGATGTCGGTCCTTCCAAGTGTCCAGCCCTTCCATGCAATAGCATATCCTATTGACCCTATTCTTGCCCTTGAAATCAGGTTTGAGACTGATTTTAATACTCAATACTCATGAAAATACATGTTTATAATATCTTTTTGTATATGCCTATTCCTTATTAATCCCCTATATTTTCAGTCGTAAATATGCTGCACACTGCTCCATAATCGCTTCTCGTTTTGGACTACCTCCTTTTACCCATCCAGCTGGGCTCCCTGTAAAACGTGAGGGAGGATTTAAGAGATTAAGGATTGGATATGTGAGCAGTGATTTTGGTAACCATCCGTTGTCACACCTCATGGGATCAGTGTTTGGGATGCACAACAGAGAAAACGTTGAGGTTTGTATCCTGCATTTGGATATTTGTTGATCCATTTCTTAGGTCTGATCTGATTTTATATAGAGAGTTTAGGTTCTTCAACCCAGTGTCTTCTAGTGAGGCTATAAAATTCGTGCATGTTGGGTTTGTTTTTCTGATGGTAGGAATGTATGGAACCGAACAGGTCCTGTGTGTGGAATATAGAATTTTAGTAATTGATGGTATATCATTTCTGTATCTGCCTATCTTGTTTTTAGGATTTCAGTAAAGTAAATCACATTTTTTCCCAGGTTTTCTGCTATGCATTGAGTGCAAATGATAATACTGAGTGGAGACAGCGTATCCAATCAGAAGCCGAGCATTTCATGGACGTTTCTTCTATGTCATCTGATGCTATCGCCAAAATTATAAATGAAGACAAAATCCAGATCCTCATCAATCTAAACGGTTATACCAAGGCATGCTCTGAACATTTCAGAAACTTTATACTCTAGAGCTGTACCCATTCCTATGGAAATGTTTTTGGTAACATTGCTTGTTTTAACCTATGCAGGGGGCTAGAAATGAAATATTTGCCATGCAGCCTGCACCGATCCAGGTTTCATATATGGGCTTCCCGGGTACAACTGGGGCAACCTATATTGACTATCTAGTGACTGATGAGGTTTGCACTTGAATTAGAGTTTTCTAGATATCTTCAGAACAATTTTTTTTTCCAACCTTATTTTTCTCTATGTTATGACTGGTTACTCTCATTTACTTTTCAGTTCGTGTCTCCTCTGCAATATGCACATATTTACTCAGAGAAGCTGGTCCATCTTCCCCATTGCTACTTTGTCAATGATTACAAGCAGGTATGCTCAGAGAAAGTTATCTTTACCATGTTATTGTACATTCATCAGCTCCACAGTTTATTATAAAACTCATTGTATAAATGCTATTTGCAGAAAAATCAGGATGTGTTGGATCCAAATTCTAAGCCCAAGAGATCAGACTATGGACTTCCTGAAGACAAATTCATATTTGCATGCTTCAACCAACTGTACAAAATGGATCCTGAGATCGTTAATACTTGGTAAGTGTTTTTCCTTAGCTTTGGAGGTTTGTTTGGAAATTTACGTACGACACTTTACACCATCACGATACTGTATATAACACTCTGTAGCTCGGTATAGATATAAATTTATACATTCGCAGACTGATTTTTTTTTTTAAAGGTGCAACATTCTTAAACGAGTACCCAACAGTGCTCTTTGGCTTCTCCGTTTTCCAGCAGCCGGAGAGATGAGGTTTCGCAAATGTACGCGTGGTTTTATTCCATTGCCTAGCAGTTCCTTGCTCTTTCTGCTTGCACTACCTTTTATAACTTTATTTTCTGACCTTATATCCAGATGCTGCTGCCCAAGGTGTACAGTCTGATCAAATTATCTTCACTGATGTTGCCATGAAGAGTGAACATATTAGGCGAAGTGTCCTTGCTGATGTAATCCTCGACACGTGAGTTCTTTTGCCTCTCAACTCGTTTCATCTGTACTTCAAGATATATTAAAAAACAACACAAAACTCATTCTGCCACAAGTTTACCTTCCCTTACCCTGTCCTGTCATTAGGCCTCTGTGCAATGGACACACAACAGGAACAGATGTGCTGTGGGCTGGTGTACCGATGATAACATTACCACTTGAGAAAATGGCAACTCGAGTGGCTGGATCACTCTGTCTTGCAACTGGTCTGGGCCATGAGATGATAGTTAACAGGTACGTCTCAGCATAAACCAACTTGTACTTGTGTTCAGTATCCTCTGTTTTCATGTATGTTGATGAGATATCTCTATAACAACTGTGAACCAGCTTGGAGGAGTACGAAGAGAAGGCTGTCTCTTTGGCACTGAACAAGCCAAAACTTCAGGCACTGACTAAGGAATTGAGGGCTAGCCGCTTAACCTGTCCTCTATTCGACACCATGCGTTGGGTTAGTCAGGAAACACTTTCTGACTCTATTCCTCTGTTCTGCGGTTTATTTCCTTACCAATGAGCCCTCTTGGTTGGTTACAGGTGAAGAATCTGGAGAGGTCATACTTCAAAATGTGGAACCTCCATTGCTCTGGACAGCAGCCACAACACTTCAAGGTGTTGGAAAACGACCTAGAATTCCCACATGACAGATAAACAACGAGGGAAAGAAAACTGTAACACTGGAGGACCCGGCATTGTAAATAAAAACCGAAGAGAATTAGTAGCAGAAACATTGATAAATTATCAGAGCTAGAAGATTATTATTATTTGAGCTGTGTACTATATATAAAAACAAAGCTGGCTGTGTTATCCTCTGTTTTCCAATGTAACATTACATGAAACATATATATATCGATCATTTGAACCAAAACGGATCGGTCATGGGTCATAACGTATGTAACACAAGCTTCAGACAAAGCCGAGATTCTCACTGTAGTAAGTAAACACAAAGAAAGTTGCGCAGTAAGGGATAAAACCGGGGCTGTGAAGGGCAATGCCGTTGCAGATAGCTCCCATACCGTGTTCCCAAAATCCCGCAAACACTCTCCCTGAAATGTATTGGAGTTAAGCAACAACAAACTCACTGGTAGAATCCCTGAAAGTCCTCAGCTAGACAGATTGAATGATCCAAATATTTAGGCGAACAACAACAAACTATGTGGAATGCAAATCTCTCAAGAACAGAGGACTGAAGAAATAAAAATCTTTGTTTTCTTAAAAGAAATGGAAGATTATTAAGATGTTGTAACAATGAAAAAAATAAAACAGTTTGTGAGCAATCCCTTTTAAGACCACAGTGGTCAATGAAGTGATGTTATCAAAAGAGTTAAACAAAGTATTGTCAAATCACTTTCCAAAAAGTTGTGTGTTTTACTCTATGAAAACAGAATCGTTTATAATGATGAAACATTGCCAGCATACAAATTCACAAAATTTTGTGTTCTTTTGGTGACATGAAGGATTTCAATATAACCCAAAACCTGAGGATAAGACTCTCAATTGTATCTTAAAACATGAACTTTCAGATTGAAGAAATCTTAAAATTTTGTCTAAAAGTTTTTTGTAACCATCTCATACCTTGTTTCTTCACAAAGATAGAAGACGAAAAGAGAAGAAGTAATAATAAAAGTTATTATGAGAGGAGGAAGGTAGGAGCTATATCACTACTATTTTCATTATATTAGCCAATCAGATCGCTCCATGTCACACCCCTCTCTCACCCATCGCGCGATTTCACGCCCACTCTCACCACTCGCGAGTTGAGCGCGTGTCTCCGTTTTCCGTGGGTGCAAACCCACCAAATGGCCTGTTTTGAAACACACTCGCTCCTTTTTTAAAAAGCCTCGCGTGCGTGACTTTTTGTTTTTTCTTTTATCAAAACCTTTTTATTTCCAACGCAAACCGAAGAAATCAATTCTAATTTCAAAACCAATGCAAACCGAACCGCTGGAGCTGCCCTGAACATTTCAGAAACTTTTTACACTGGAGCTATCGTCTTCACCGTTTTAACATGCTTGCAAAGAAGAAGATACACACATGTATGTATAGATCTGAAAATAATAAAATAGGATAAAGAGGCCTTGTTTTTGTTTCTCTAAGCAAAAAAGGACCCAATTTATTTTGGATTGTATTTTTAAAAAATACCCAATTTGCGTTTGGGTTGTTGTGTTAACAAATGGCCCATTTTGTTTTCTTTTTTTTTTGTTTGTTAATTATATCCAATCTAACCGATCCGATTTAACCGAATGAACCGCATTTATCCGAAATTAACCGGATTTCAATCAAAAGCCGATTAATTTCGGTAACAAACATCAGTTTTTTTTGTTGCCAATCTTCGAAATTGACGAAACCCATTGGTTAACCAGAAAATCCAGCCGGTTAATCTAAGCTATGTACTAAACCATGTAACAGGCCATAGTTACCCTAATTTGATGGGCCTTCAAATTCAGCCCATTATCACGTTGATCTATAAAAGCTTAACGCATTAGGGTTTTTCTTCCTTCTCATATAATCGCTTTGGCTGCAGAGAAGCACAAAATCATAAAACCCTAGCAATGGCGACCCAACCGGCGAAAGAGTCTGTTCAATGCTTCGGAAGGAAGAAGACGGCCGTTGCCGTCACCCACTGCAAACGCGGCTCGGGTATGATCAAGCTCAATGGTTCGCCGATCGAGCTTCATCAACCAGAGATCCTCCGATTCAAGATCTACGAGCCAATCCTTCTCCTCGGAAAACACCGTTTCGCCGGAGTTGACATGAGGATCCGAGTCGAGGGTGGTGGTAACACCTCTCAGGTCTACGCAATCCGTCAGAGTATCGCTAAGGCTCTCGTTGCTTACTACCAGAAGTACGTTGATGAGCAGTCGAAGAAGGAGATCAAGGACATCTTGGTGAGGTACGATAGGACTCTACTTGTTGCGGATCCTAGGAGGTGCGAATCGAAGAAGTTTGGTGGTAAAGGTGCTCGTTCTCGTTTCCAGAAGAGTTACCGTTAAAACTCTGGTTTGGCTTTTTTTGTTTTATCAACGTTTTGGGATTGTGATGTTGAAATTGTGAGACTTTAGATTCTCTTTTGCGTTTTATTTTCAATGGTTATTGGATAATGTTTACTTCTTTAAAGAACTTATGTTTCTACTATGTTCACTATCTACAAGTTCTCAATTTTTCTTCAAAAGTTGTTTCTTTTATCACTGTCTTTATCGATTGCTTATGTTTGATGAACTTGATAATGATCTGTCTTGGTCATACTCCAATTACTCGTTGCCAATTACATTAGTCGCTGAAGCTTTTGGGAATTTGTGAAAGTAATTGGCTTGTAGTTGCTAAGAGTTGTTGAACATTGATTGTTCGTATTTTAGTTTTGAGATATCGTTCTTTGAATTACTCTGCTTAAAGTGTTTCCCTTGTAACCTTTAGTTGCAATTTGACTCTCTAGAGAAACGATAAGAAATATCTTGTATGTATTAATGTTGCTTTAGAATTTGTATGCTGTCTTGTTTTTTTGGAGTAAAAGCCATTTCTTTCTTCAATGATGATTTTCTCGTGTACTTGTTTTAGCTCTAGGTTTTTTTCCATGGAAAATAAGCTTAATCGTTTTTGAAATGAAAAACACTGATGTGTGTAGAAGCATGAATAGTAAGTAGTAGCTTCAGATCTCTTAGGAACGAGAATGTGAGTGAGAGAGATTAGGTTTTTAATTTTATGATGAATGGCTGGTGTATTGATTTTTTTTTTTTTTTTTGCTAAGGCTGGTGTATTGATTTTTCCTTCTCTTCCTCTTAACTCGATAAATTTTTCTTCTGCAAAGTGCAAGCAAACAAAACCTCCAAGCAATTTGCTTTGTTCCCCGTTTGTGATTCTTAGCCAACGAAACGTTGACCGTTTATCACTGATTTAGCGATGTTAAAACATTCAGTGTACTTTTCAATGGAGTTAAGAAAGACACATTTATCATTGGTGTCCATCCATGTCTTCAATGACCTATTAGCTGTGAAATTACATATTTTGATGGAGACTTAGAATCGATAACTGTAGGAATCCTTGTAGTTTCTTGTGCTTTCCTTGCTTATTCCTTCTGAGAGATAGATAATAGATTACTCCAATTTACTGGTCAGAGATATAAAACGACTCTGATTAGTTTACGAGACAAATAGGAATGAAAAAAAGAAATATCATCACTTTCTTATTACTTGAAAAGAAAAAGAAAAGTCAGTGAATTCTCAAATGGTGCAAATACGAAAATGTATAAAGAGATCCAACATATGTATTTACATTACATTACAATTATAATTATGGATTTCTATTCGTTATTTTGATTGCTAAACGTTACTCTATTTCCGCGACTAAGAAATTTGTATGTTAGCGTGTATAATAGAGATCCGTTTGAGCCCTACTCAAGACTTTAAAAGCTAACTTGCATATTTCTTCCTCGTAGATTTGGATAAGTTTGAAGATTAATTAGTAGAGCGAGAGCCCCTCACGAATTTTCCATGAAGAGATAAATAACAACAAATTAAGCTTCCTCTTTTGCCATCTCTCATTCTAAGTCACAAATAATGATAGCTAAATATTTTTACGCCACTCAAATTTGTGCGAAGAAGACATTTGCATGTTAGCTTGTATAATAGCTAGAGATCCGTTTGAGTACAAGAAAGACTTAATAGAGATCCCGAAGAGGACATTTTAGACTCATCACGTGGTGGAGCCACAGTGACTTCGCCGCCCCTCACGAATATTCTTCCCATGCTAGTCTTCTCATTCTAAGTCAATGGAGTTAGTGTACTAATATATATACAACAAACCCTTTCTCTGTTTTTAATACCGATATTGCTTCACATAGCTCTCTGATCCTTGTTCAACTCTATACCAATATACGAATAATGGATTCTTATTTTTTCCTTGGCACTGTTGTTGTTGTTGCTCTTGCAATCTACACGCTTTTGGGAATACTATCTTTTATGCTTTATAGAAAATTCAGGTTCCATCAAGAGAAGAAAAACATAGCTTGTTCATCTCCTTCATCTTCTTCATCAACTTCCTCTCCCGGTCGGAAACATCAAGTCTTCCCAAGTTTCCACGGGGCAGATGTACGCAAATCCTTTCTCAGCCACATCATGAAGGAGTTCAAAAGCAAGGCAATCGACATTTTAATTGATGAAGATATCAAGAGAAGTAAGTCTATCGGTCCTGAGCTCATACAAGCTATCAGAGGATCAAGGATTGCGATTGTCTTCCTTTCGAGGAACTATGCTTCTTCGTCGTGGTGCCTGAATGAGTTGGTGGAGATCATGAAGTGCAGAAAAGAGTTGGGTCTAACAGTGATGACCCTTTTCTATGACGTGGACCCAACTGATGTTAAGAAGCAGGCCGGAGATTTTGGGATGGCCTTCAAAGAAACTTGTAAAGGTAAAACAAAGGATGAAATTGGAAGATGGAGACACGCTTTGGAGGAAGTCGCCAAAATCGCTGGTTACCATTCAAGCAGATGGTAAAATTCATTAATTACTTTGCGAATGTGTTTATATATGTGCAAGCAATTCTTCATGAATATATTTGGTTTGACATATGGTGTTTGTTATCTTGATTCTTTTTTTTTTTGTGCCACTTGTCTTTAGGGAAAATGAAGCGGACATGATCGAAATAGTCACCACTGATATTTCAAATTCGTTGAATATCTCAACGGGGTCAAGTGATTTCAGCAGCTTAGTTGGGATGGAGGCTCATATGAAAAAATTGGAACAAATGTTATACCTAGATTTGAATGATGTGAGGATGATAGGGATTTGGGGTCCTCCTGGGATTGGTAAGACTTCTATCGCAAGACTTTTATATAGCAAATACTCTGACAGTTTCGACTTGAGTGTCTTTATGGAGAATGTCAAAGGGTATACAAGACCAGGTTGTTCGGATGAACATAGTCTTAAGCTGCACTTACATCAGCAGTTTCTGTCTCAAATATTGAACCAGAAGGATATAGAAGTTCGTCACTTAGGAGTTGTACAAGACAGGTTAAGAGACAAGAGAGTGCTTGTTGTTCTTGATGACGTTGATCAGGCAGCACAATTAGAAGCCATGGCCAAGGAAAATCAGTGGTTTGGTCCTGGAAGTCGGATTATCGTTACCACGCAAGATCAAAGACTTTTGAAAGCACATGGAATAAAAGATATGTACAAGGTGGATTTTCCACCACCTGATGAAGCTTTTCAAATCTTCTCATGGGTGCTTTTGGTCAAACCTCTCCTAAACATGGTTTCGAGGAGCTTGCATGGGAAGCTACATACCTTTCTGGTATACACCCTTCGGGAATAAAAAGTATGGGGTCTTATTTCCGGGGAATGTCAAAGCCGGAGTGGGAAGACGCATTACAAAGGTTAAGGACTAGTAACCCTGACTCTGAAACTCTGAGGACCCACAGAAAACTCCGAAACAGATTCAGGAATGGAAAACAGAAGATGATGTCACGTATGTTGAGCAGAATAAGGAGGCACCAAATAGCAGCAGCAGCAGCAAAAGCTGCTAGTGTTTATGAAACAAGTATAAAAGAAGAGGTGGATTCGTCTGCTGATCGTCGTTGAATCATTGACTTGGTGAAGAATTGGCAAAGAAACTGATAGAGTTGAAGAACCACGTCCAAGAACATGAAACTACCTGATCAAACCACCAAAACGAAAGTATGTGCAATGAGTGATTTATGTTATCTGTTAATCTTTTTATTTACTCTGTAATTTTCTTCAGTTGTAATAAGAACCTATAATATGTAGGAACCAACTCTTCCATTTCCCCATTATTTGCTTGTAGGATCTATGTCTCCAAAAAGAGACAATCTCAATTCCATAAAACAAAACTCTTAATAGTGTTTGGTCCGCCATTATGGTAATAAGGTTTTAAGATTGGTGATAAAAATTAGTGAGTTAATCACATGATATACATGAATTTGAATCCCGGACTTATAAATATGTATTTTTCTTTCACAGAGTTTGTATGTATAGCTAAGTTTATGATAATAACCAATCTTATATGTTTCTAATATCTAAATTCTTAAAAATGTGTCATAAGTGGTTAATGTTTTTCCGATAATTTGTGTGGTTAATGTTCTGGTTTGAATAAATAAGTGTATGCTTGTAGGCTTTGATCATCAAGAAAAAAATAACCACTTATTATTCTCACGTTTTTAAATTTCCAAATTGATCATAAAACGTCAGATTCAATGCTTCAATACTTAGTACTCAAATCAAAAGTTCTAAAAAATTTACGACGAACTTCTCCTTTCCGTAACTAATTAATTGAATTTAGGGAACTTACATTTGTTTTTGAAAAATCATGAACTACAAATATGTATTGGTTTGAAATATTGTTTAGTTCGGAAACAATAGTCTGTTAACAAAAAAAAAAGGGTTTTCATTGTTGATAATTATTTTACGGATGCCGTTTATATATGTGTTAAATTAAATTATTCTATTTAATTTTAAAATAAATTATTTTTCTTTAAAATTACAAATTATAGAAACAAAAAGGCTAAAACATAGATCAAGTATCTTATTATGTTTATCAGTTTATGTATGTATTTTAAAAAAAATTATTAAAAAAAAACACTAAAAGTGTTAAAATGGTTTCATACAGTATATGCAAACACAAACTCAAATGAAGCAGTCAAGCTTTACACGCTATATAATAAATAGGTAGTAAAAGCATGAAAGTCCCACAATTTAAATCTTATTGTATTAATGGGCCCTGATTTTTCCGTATAAACTCGATCAATCTATTATCTAAACTCTAGAGTAGATGTAATTTACTTGTAAACTAAAATTAAATGTTTTTGGACGGCTTCTTGGGCTATATATAGCGCATGCATGTTTCTCATGCAGCATCGCTCAATCCACAAAGAAAGGGAATATTAAAAAAAAAACATTTCTATTAGAAAAAAAAAATGGAAGGTCTTCTGCACTTTCTTTTAGCTAAAATAATCTTGTTGGCTTTAGCATCTTCGTTTGTATATTGTTACGACCCAAATCCTCTTCAAGACTACTGTGTTGCCACCAACGAAACTAAAGGAGGTAATCTCTCTATTTGTTGCATAGATATGGCTCCTTCGATATTCTACAATCTGGATATTATGCCAAAAATCATAGTAACCTAATTATATCATTCAAACTAGGCCTGGGCATAAAATCCGAAATCCGAAAACCGATCCGAAACCGATCCGAAAAATCCGGCTCCGAAACCGAACCGAATAGTCATGAAACCCGAACGGATAATGAATTCTCCTATCCGAATTATCCGAACCGAACCCGATCCGAACCGAAAACCGAAAGGATATCCGAAAACCGAAAATAAAATTATATATCCAAAAATATTAGTTATATTTAGCTATAATTTTATAACAAATAACAAAAATATCCTAAATAACCTAGATGTCGGAAAGTTTTTAGTTATATTTGTTAAAATTATATATATTTTTGGAAAATTTAGCCAAATTTTAGTAAGATTAAAACTATTTTTTATTTAAATTGAACATTTTTTTGGTTTTTCTTCCTCGCAAACCGATTCAAAATTAATCCGAAACCGATCCGAATCCGACACTATCCGAACCGAACCCGATCCGAATAGTCATAAAATCCGAACGGATAATAAAATCTCCTATCCGAATTATCCGAATCCGAATAAATCCGAACCGAATCCGATCCGAAATCTGAATGCCCAGGCCTAATTCAAACCTCAAAAGATTTGATTTGACGTTTTACGCAGTTTATGTAAATGGAAAGTTCTGCAAAGATCCAAGACGTGTAACGGCGAATGATTTTTATACTTCCGGCCTAAACGTTCCCGGAAACACCAGCACCGGTCCCGGCGCCAAAATCACAGCCGTGGATGTCGAAAGAATGCCTGGTCTCAACACTCTCGGGGTCGGCATGGCCCGCATTGACTTCGCCCCGGGCGGTCTAGTCCCACCTCACACGCACCCACGTGCCAGCGAGATCTTCCTAGTTATCAAGGGCAAGCTTTTCGTTGGATTTGTGTCGTCAGATGAATATAACTACACGCTCTTCACCAAAGTTCTTTATCCCGGAGATGTATTTGTGTTTCCCAAAAGTTTACCACAATTTCATGCGAATGTGGGGAAGACAAATGCGGTTGTGATTGCTGCAGCTGGGAGCCAAAACCCCGGTAGGATCATAATAGGTGATGCGGTTTTCGGATCGAAACCTTTGATTGATCCCAAGGTTTTGGCTAAAGCTTTTGCGTTGGACTTGGACAAAGTGAAATATCTTCAGGCAGTGTTTTCTTGATGACATACGTAATTAGCCTAAGAGAGTAATCATAAAATGTAGTTAATTATGACGAAATAATCTGATGATTATATACATACATATGTATAAAGTAGGAAATACAAACAACAAAAATTGTGCGTGAATTAAATATGGAAGTATGTGTAATGTGCTGCTTAATTAATTAAAAAACAATTTGTATGACATAAATAAAGTTAATGAATTAATAAAGAGGTTGTGACTTGTGAACATATCCAAAGGCTTTGAATCAGAAATTTCAGAATCGTGAGATGTAAGAGATATATAAAACATGATACAAAAAACTGAAATTGTCCAACGTAATCTTAATACCGCGGCACAAAACCGCTTCAAGAACGTACGTAAAAACGCATTATGATATTTAGAAAAAGAATCATATTTATAACCTAAAAAATAATATAATCTTTAATTATAACAGATTTCTAGTTTTTAATACGTGGAAGCAAACCAATCCTACAAGATGGAGGGGCATATAATTAAGGATTATGTTGTTCTCTGCATATTCGACCAATAGGGAGTTTACAATTTAGAGCTTGCAATGGCCATGGTTTATATTTTAAAAATGTGTTTTTTTTTATTATTTCATATTATAATTGAATTAAGATTAACAATGGCCATGTGTATTAGTGGTAAAGGCACTGGATTTTGTAGCTTGCATGAAACAATTCCAATTAATTTTCAAAGGCTTTCACTCGCATATATATGCAGCCATTGATGATATATTCATATACTTGAACAATAATCACACAACAAAATATAATTAGTTGATAATTTTTCTTTTGTGTGTAGCTAGCTTATGTTTATGATAACAACACTGTGGGGTTTTAATTTCTAAAGTTTAAAAATGTGTGGTTAATGTTTTGATTTTGTGCAAGTGTACATATCTGTATGCTTGTATACATTGATCATCAAGCAAATTTAAATCATAATCACTTCTTCTCACGTTTGAAATTTCCAGGTAATTGAGGAAACTTCGGAATCAACACTTCAAGACTTTGCATCATATTTCAGAATTTAAAGAATTATCCACATAATTGAGGAAATTTGTTTCATAATTCAACAAAAGCAAAGAAACTTTGAGGGAGCTAGCTAGCCCTCTCATAACGAATTTGATTCATTAATTAACTCTGTATCAATTTTGATAATACTGTGAAAAAATTAAGTTCAAGAAAATAAATTAGTAAATGATTTGTTTCAAACGAATATATTCACACGTTTCTGAATAAAGACATAAAGTGATATTTACACGTTAGAATATTAAATTTGCATTCAATCAAGAAATATTTTTTTATAGTGGTCAATTTCTCTTACAAATTACAAACCCAAAAGTAATCTAAAATGAATAATATACCAATTATATCTCTCGTTTTTTGGTGCAAAATATACCAGTTACATCTTGTTATATATGTCAACATTTAAAATTTACAAAAATAAAAGTTAATTTATAAGAAAAACTCCATAAACGTTGCGACTTTATTTAACATGTATATAAATATATAATTGCAAGCACAAACTTAAATAAAACAATCAAACCTTACATGTGTACAAACAGAAAAATTAATGCCTGAAAGTCCAATATTTTTCAAATTTACTTTTATTAGGTCTTGATATTCCGTACAAACTCGATCAACCTATAATAGTTAGATGTAAATTACCTGTAAACTAAAATCAAATATTTTTGGACCACTTTTTGGACTATATTTAGCGCATGCATGTTTCTCATGCAACATCGCTTAATCCACAAAGAAAAGGAAAACAAAATCACACAAACAAATTCTATTTGAAAAAGAAAAAGATGAAAGATCTATTTCAGTGTTTTCTAGCTAAAATCATTTTGTTGGCTTTAGCATCTTCGTTTGTATCTTGTTACGACCCATCTCCTCTTCAAGACTACTGTGTTGCTAAGCCTACCAACGAAACTAAAGGAGGTAATCTCTCTATTTTTTTTTAATATATATAGCTTTTAAAACAAATTTGTAAACACAAAGACGAAATACATATATAATTTTGAATATATATAGCTTTTAAAAGAAATTTGTAAACACATTTTGAATATATATAGCTTTTAAAACAAATTTGTAAACACAAAGACGAAATACATATATAATTTCTCTTTTTTCGTTTGCATTTCAAAGAACATCTGAAAGACACACTAAACTAAAATAGTATTTTTTCTTAAACAAAAAACCTATAACAACTAGTTCCATCATATCATATAACTCATATCATTTCAAAATACTAGCTCTTCTTGCTTATCTATGGAAGTTGCAAACTTGAATCACGGAACGCAAACGCCGGAGAGTATGTACATGTAATAAATAACACACATATACACAAATAGGTATTTTTTTTTTCTTTTTTGGTTTTCAATGTTAAAAGTAATTGGAAGACGATGTTATGATAAAATGTTAATGTAACTTATTATATAACTTTCAAATTCAAGCCTACGTTTCGTTCTTTTTTTATTTTCTTGTAGCTTTCGTAAATGGAAGATTCTGCAAAGATCCAAAACTAGTAACAGCCAATGATTTCTTTGCTTCTGGCCTTAACATCCCGGGAAACACCAGCAACCGCCTTGGCTCCTTTGTCAACCCCGCTAATATCCCTGGTTACAACACTCTTGGGGTCGCCATCGCCCGCATTGACTTCGCCCGCATTGACTTTGCCCCTGGTGGTCAAATCCCACCGCACATACATCCACGCGCCTCCGAGGTCCTCTTAGTCGTCAAGGGCAAGCTTGAAGCTCCTAGTCGGTTTTGTGTCGTCGAACGAGTACAACTACACACTTTTCTCCAAAATTCTTTATCCGGGAGATGTATTTGTTATCCCCATCGGATTGGTACAATACCATGCAAACATAGGAAAGACAAATGCGATTGCGATTGGGGCGGTTGGGAGCCAAAATCCTGGTTTTATCTCGGTAGGTGATGCAGTTTTCGGGTCGAGGCCTTCGATTGACCCAAAGATTTTGGCTAAAGCTTTTGCGTTGGATATCAACATAGTGAGATATCTTGGGAGTTGGGACAGTGTTTTCTCATAAAGATGATATCGTTGAATAAGAATAACGATGATAAAATATACTCTCTCTGTCCCATTTTATAAGATGTTTTGGGTAAAAGCACAAAGATTAAGGAATAATTAATGTTTATTTTTTATAGGAATTCAGCCAATAGAAAAAAAGACTGCAGAATTTAAATGGTCATAACATACTAAATAAATATTAATTATGCATAGAAATCTGGGAAAATCTTATAAAATGGAACAAGGAAAAAATGCTAAAACATCCTATAATTTGGGACAGAGGGAGTATATAATTGTGGGTAAAATAAGTTGATGGTTATATAATAGATAAAATATCTAGTAAAGTGTAAGAAATACAGATCAAAAATTAATGTGTGGGAAATAAATACGTAAGTGTACGTGTAATGTAAATATGTACCAGTTTAACGAATAATACACAAATTAATATGGGCTAAATAAAGGGACTAATGGGCCTGATTAAATGGGCACTATCCAGTAAAAATATGCAAAAGGAAGCACACCAACTTACAACGTTTTCTGTAAAATTCGCCGTCGCCGGAATTCATGGATCGACCACCTTCGTTTACACACTGTCAAAATCCTAATCCGAAATTTCTTCTCCCGAACTCCTCCAGCTCATCTTCAAAATCCTAACAATTACTTCACCCACCGCTCCATCTCCGCCGCCAATTCGCGCGCTCTGTCGAAAAATCTAGCTTTAGATCACTCTTCTATTCTCCAGAAGGACGAAAATGGCGGTTTTGGTTCGTTGCCCTTTTGATTCAAATCATTTTATGTCACCTGAAGCTCTCTTTCTCCATTCACTTGGTTGCCCAAATCCTCTTGACCTCACTCATTCCCTTCGTTACCGTGTTGTGAACTACATTTGAATAATGTAGAAGCCATCAATCAAAAGGCTCAATTCGACGGCGGGTGGTGAGCGATTCGGCCCTAAAGAAGGAATTGCGCCGTGATGAGGTACATCTGTGAAGCTCTGTGTTTTGGTTTGATTTTGTATTCCCAAATTAAGAAAAGTTTCTGATTTTGTTTACAGGTGTGCTTCTACATATTGAAGACAAATGTGGTCAAAATTTGGATTTAGAAAGAGCTGATCAGTACTTGGATCAGAAGATCTCAAAGGTTAATCGATTTCAATGAATCATTATTTGTATATGTGTTCATTATTGAATCTCAAGTTACTGTGTAACTGGTTCCTCATATGTGTGTTCGTCGGAGGGATCGAAGAAATCTTCCGATGAGGACAAGCGGTTAGTAGGTTTACATTGGTTTTGATATTAAAATTGATTTCGGTTCGGTTTACATGTATTGAAATTAGAATTGATTTTGGGTTCGGTTTACACTGGTTTAGAGAAGAAAACAAAATAATATTCACGCGATGGGAATTTTGGAGACAGGTGCGTCGATTGAAAAAGGCATGATGTCGAAAGGGGTACACCCACAGAATTGCTCACACTCGCGCAACGCTCACTTTGTGCGAGTGGGACTGAAATAGAGCCTTCTGATTGGCTGAAAAACTCTAAAAAAAGTGAAATAGTATACATGTTGCTAGCTCCTCTCTTATATGTTATTATTTAGTTTTTCGTCTTCTTCTCTCAATCTGATGAAAGTTGTTGTTTTTTTAGATACAATTGATTCTAGATACTTGAGATTTAGTATTTGATCTATAAAGATTTCACATTTAGTGGTGGCTGGTGATTTTTGATGACCCAAAGCTCTCTGCAGATGCAAAAGAGTCTGAATGTGGATTTTCCATCTCACATAGTGCTTCTGCTGCAATGTCATCTTCAACTCTTCTCCTACCTTCAAAAGCTATTAGTAAGCCAAAACTGTCCCAAGGTTCAAGTATGTAGTGGATTAAAAACATCGTTTGTTTAGCATTTTAGACCCCCAAAGTCGTCAAAAATGTCTCAACCTTCCACTTCTATCCATGAGGTTATTACAATATCTAATTGGTTTCTAGCTTGATTAAATCTACTGCCATGATCCCATAGTGACGTTGCTGTATTTTTGTGCAGATGAGCTTCTCGTATGAGTTGTTTGTGAAACTTATTGTGATAGAGTACAATTACAGCCATTTGGCCTTGTGAACTTAGGGAACAGGTACATATCGATCTATCTTTAACTTTTCTTGCTTATAGCATGATGATATTTAGCAATAGTATTATAAGAGAAATCTATTAAGTTGTTGACTGACAATTTTTTTTATGTAGTTCTTCTCTCTTAAGTATATTTATGCTTATCACTTATATTATTACTTTTGTAGTTGTTATGCAGATGCTTTCCTTCAGTGCTTGGCATTGACTCGGCTGCTAATATCATACCTTATTAGGGGATTACACTCTAAAACATGTGAGTAGAACACCAAAATAACTTTTACCGCTCTTATTTAAAACTCGGCTGCTCATTTTTCTCTCGGTGTCTTTGTCTTGTCTAATGCAGGTGAAGAAGCAACAGTCTCTGTCCCACAGTCCAAAGACAAAAACATCAGGTTTCACAGTCGCAACCGGGCAAGGATCTCCATCAGATTCGCCTGGAACTAATCGCTGGTTCAAACCAGAGATAGATGCTCCATCACCAATACGATCAATCCAGATAGAAGAAAAAGCCATGAAGGATCTGCGCCGCTTCTACAGCAGCGTGAAGGTAGTCAGAAACCAGCCTTGATGATGTGAGTGAATGAGACATTACTTTTCAAGAGCTCCAATTCTCAAAAGTCAAAACTCAAAAAGTGTTGTAGTTGTAATTGTACAGGGATCTGTTAGAACTTAGAACCAAGAACCTCACGGTGAAAATGAAGTTGTTTGATGCTCATTGTCACCTCCAAGACAAGAGGGTCATCGACGAAGCCTCTCAGCTCATATCTGCTGCTTTTAGCTGTCGGTGTTACCAATTTCGCAGTCAATGGAACCTCCGAGGTAATTTCCTGATCGTTTAATCACTATTATCTACTATACTCATATATACATATTTTAAACGGGTTTTGTTTATGGAGACAGAAAGATTGGGACTTGGTGAAAGAGATGGGAGAGACGTATCCTTCTGTTGTACCTTGCATCGGACTACATCCTTGGTATGGATTTTTCATGCAGAGTATTTCCAATTGATGCAAAAAGTTTAAGATCAAAACCAGTTTAAAATTGAGATTTCTCAAACTTTTTTCATCGGAGCTGAAACTGAAAATTTTCTTGTGGATGCTATAGAATCTTCTGATTCCCCTCTACTTGGCAACGAAACTGCAGGAGGTACTGAAATCATAAAATGTGCTCAATCACGTAGTTACCATTTGGATATGTTGTAAAGATACATTCAACAATTCAATCTATACTGCTTTTTTCTGCATTTTAGAAATATAACTATTTTGCTTCTTTTTAATTGAACAGATGAAAAGTATTTTGGAAAGAGAAGAAAAATTGCTTCCTGGAGTATAGCTCATGTGTGCATAGGTGTCCTAGGTCTTGCTTCAGCAGCTTCAGCTGAGCGTCTTCCAATGTTGTTTATCATCTTAACCACTGGGGCAATAACTGCTCTATGCGTGAGTTTGTTGGGTTCCCTTTTGGCTCAGGTACTAACCAATTCTATCGTTCTGAAAATCCAAGTTCAGGAGATTTTGTAATTGAGATTTCTTTGCTGTAAAAGTAACACAGGTTCTGTGTGGGTTATGCAAATGCATACATGTCGTTTTGATAGTGCTTTGTAATTTTTTTTATTAGCCCACGAACTCAAGTACCAGTGAAAAGCACAATAGCTGTTGGTGTGCTTGCCGCTGCACTCGCATTTTTCATGGATTTTGCACAGTTGTCCGAGATGGTAAGCTGCATTTGCCTACATTACATGTCTCAATTCTTAAGGAAAGATTTTCACCTACAATTAGTGGCAAACAGAAAATTGAGGGTTCATTATTAGTAGTATAGTGTTGATCTTGTTTAGCAATTAGCATTATGTAATTGAGTTGAGACACGCCTAAACACACTCTATTACGGTAACAGATCCTTCTCTGAGTAGCTCATATCGGTAATTTATCCAACAGGTTAAGTGTTGGCACTCTAATGGCGTTCACTGTCGTTGCAGCCTGTGTGCTAGTTCTTAGATATGTGCCAACAGATGGAGTTCCCCTATCATCACATTGGTAAGCTGATATTTGCCTACATATATATTATATTATACCGATTGATGACAGAAATATAGGTCTCAAAATATCATTTATATTTATAACAATGATGCTATTTTCTTTTTCTCGAATTCGCAGGTTTTCCCGGTTCAATTAGAGACTGTGTTACTAGAAGGAGCATACATGCTTCTTTATGCAAGGTGAATAGAATACAAACAGATCATAAAAATCCAACTCTTTTAAGTAATGTTTGATTATCTCAAGGCCTTTGGTAATAATTTTGAGTCTGATGAACTCATTAAGCAATGTTTGATTGATCTCAAGGCCTTTGGTAATAACTCTGTTTTGTGGCATGGTTTAGGTCACTACTTGAATTGGTTATGGTTCTCCCAAACTCATACAATGTTCATGGAGGCTGGAGCTGCGCTTGGGGAGAAGGAACCTTTGGGTGGCCATATGAGGTAGCTGAAAAGGTAAGTAGAACCTTTGATTGATTTCTCCTCTTTTTGCTCTCTAATCTTTCCCGTTGGGATGTTGAGAAATCATGGAAATTGCCAGAAAATTTCTGTCCAGAATTTACTGATTCCACTAGAGAAATTAGAATTAGAATTGGTTTTGAAATTAGAATTGATTTCGGTTCGGTTTTCATTGGTTTTGAAATTAGAACTGATTTCGTTCGGTTTAGTTTTCATTGGTTCTGAAATTAGTTCGGTTTGCGTTGGAATTAATTAAGAAAAAATAAAAAGTCACGCACGCGAGGGTTTTTAAAAAAGGAGCGAGTGTTCTTCAAAACAGGCCATTTGGTGGGGTAACACCCACAGAAAACGGAGACACGCGCTCAACTCGCGAGTGGTGAGAGTGGGCGTGAAATCGCGCGATGGGTGAGAGAGGGGTGTGACATGGAGCCATCTGATTGGCTAATAAAATGAAAATAGTAGAGATGTAGCTCCTACCTTCCTCCTCTCATAATAACTTTTATTATTACTTCTTCTCTTTTCGTCTTCTATCTAAGTATCTATGATCTTCATACATGAATAAGTTTGAATTCTGAGATTAAGTTTATGATTTTACCTATTTCTGGAGGAATCTCTCCCTCAATGAAATTCTCATACAAGATCAGTTCCTGCAGATTCTTGAGCTCTTTGATGTCACCACTCAACGTACCACCAATAACATTCCTGCTTAAGTCCAAGCGCTGAAGAGTCTTCAAGGAGAACAATTCAGGAGTGATAGAGCCGTTAAAGCTGTTATCACTCATGTCAAGAGAGATAAAACTGGTCAAGCTCACGAACCCATCTCCAGGAATCTCTCCTTGTATGAAATTAGACGAGATATCGAGTGTCACAAGATAGCTTATACATAAAACCGGTCTCAGAATGCCTGTACTCATTGAGCCAGAGAGGATAAGAGAGTGCAGATTCAGGTCTATCACCTCTCCAGGAATCTCTCCTTGTCATGGTTTTTTAAGCATTTCTGAAACAAGATGGTTCTATGTTTCCATGTGATTGCTTAACTCATGTGGACATGACATTTCCCTTTCTTTCCTACAGATAAATAGTAATCCAGTTGCTGCCGAGGCTACCATTTTGTCGCTTCACCAGTCCCCACAGCCGTATAAGGCATGTAGATATATTCTTGGTAAGTCTTTCTGATGAGTCCAGAACCGGCCAAGTGAACTTGGGAAGTTACATCTGTTTGACTGAAAGTGTTTTATACTTCCAGAAAATTCTCAGGTGGCAAATGCTAGGTTTCAAGCTGCTGCAGCTATACGAGAAGCAGCTATCAGGGAATGGAGCTTTCTTGCCACAGATGATAAAGGGGGTTTGATTAAGTAATTTCTCTTCTTTTATGTGATTTGGGTGATATGTGCTCAAGCGTCCAGTTAGTTGAGCGGTCACCCTCTGCTCTATCAGGAAGCAAACCTTGGTGTTAATTTTGTAATTTTTGATTGGCTTTGCAAATCAACTGAGAGCATTCATGCTTCACAATATAGTAATTTTAGGATACTTCTGCTTTCCTGGCCACATCATTTTCCGAGATAATCATGACTTATAAGAAATTAGAGGTTTTTATTTTGAAGTTTTGGATTATATTAATAAAAATAATTAAGAAATATGGCGAATTCTTTCTGCAGCTTCTGCCTTGGCTATGTCATGCAGCATGCTAATTCATCCGAGGGATATGTGCTTTCAAAAGTATCTTCTGTGGCAGCACAGCTGATGAAAAGAGGCTGGTAAGCTGCGGTGGGCTTCTCTGGTATTGAAATTATTAAAACATGCACACTAGATGCTGGACGTTATCTGTCACTTCTGATTCTATGCATATGAGAGGATTCATGAAAAGGATGTTGTCGTTCACAGACATTTATGACTGGTAGCTTCTGGAAAATTAGAGTAGCGCAAAGAAATCTAGATAAATTAGCTACTTCTGTTTTTTGCTTGCTTTGTTCATCTAGTGGAACCTCTAATCTGAATAAATTACTCTTACAGGCTTGAGTTTACTCCAGCCGAGAAGGAAGTCTTTTTCTATCAGGTATCTACATTGTTTTGTAATTTTTCAGACTTTCATTTTAGTTTCTGTATCTTATCGTTTGACTAGCATGAGGTACATATATGTTGTTATCTGATACTGGCCATTGTAAACATAATAGTTTATATAAATAAAAATGTGCATGAATCCGTGAAGATGATGGCAAATGTAGTAAGGGGCATTTTAACTGTACCTTAAATATATGGACAAGAAAGGATTTAGAGTGATTGAGTGGGTTAACTAGTAATCATTTGAGTAGTAACAGGTCCTTACAATATGTGCCTCCATTATTTCAGCTAGATATGTATTGATATGCTCCATGCCTTAATAAAAAGAAATGGGGGTTTACGAGTCATGGCTTCATAGAAATGAAAATTGTGGTATTGCTGTTAGTTATTTTGAAAAATATAATGGAAAGTCGTCCAATATTAATGTTTTTATTAAAAGGATCATGGTTGATCTTCTTATGTCCCTTAACAACTGCTGTTTACAGATCAACCAGGCTATTCTTGGTTCTCGTGGCTTAGATGTGCAGTTCATCGGTGTAAATTTTCTTGAATCATTGGTAATGATCTGTTTCTATTGTTTCTGGCATTATATATATATACACCATATGGTTGCTCATAATTCTTCATCTCAGGTATCTGAATTCTCACCCTCTACTTCAAGTGCCATGGGTCTCCCTAGGGAATTTCATGAAAATTGTCGCAAGTCACTAGAGCAAAACTTTTTGAAGGTAATTGTAGGATTGCATTTGCTTCCAGTTATCGTTACACCCATCATCCTTTCGTCTGTGAAAGAATAATAGCCTATATGGAGGGTTCTGTTACTAAAATTGTGTTGTTTACTTTTTATGTTTTCAATTGCAGACTTTCTATCAGTGGACACAAGATGCTGCTTTGAGTGTTACAAACAAGATTATCGAATCGCATTCTAGTGTCCCTGAGGTTAAGGTTTGCAATGCTACACTGCGATTAATGCATCAAATACTAAATTGGGAGTTTCGTTACAGCAAAGGTGGCACAAGAGCCAGCATTAATGTATTCTCTGACGGAATTAGACCTGATAATGCATTATCAAGAAAGACAGAATGTGTAATAGTTCAGGTAGCTAATGGTTATATTTAAGATTTATGACACGTGCTAATTATCTTGTTGAAATTCTGAGAGACCACATGCTAGCATGTCTGATTTTATACTTGTTTACCGTTAAGACACTTTCATGAGCTCTTCATAAATCTCACCTTCAGTGGTGCTGATTGCAGCCTGGAGCTTCGTGGTGTGATGTTTTGCTTTCAAGCTCACATGTTGGATGGCTGATAAATTTATATTCGTCGGTGAGGCAGAAGTTTGATCTTGAAGGCTATTGGCTAGATTGTCCTGTTGCAGTCTCTGCTCGGAAACTTATCGTGCAATTGTGCTCCTTGGCAGGGGAAATATCTCCATCCGGTGAGTGTTATATGCTTTTGTATTTTCTACTAATTAATATAATCTTCTGCTGAATGCGTTATAGAAACATCAAATTTGCCCATTATCTAGTTTGCATCGTTAATGAGGAACAATGGATGTTCATCACGTCTTTCTTATCGAGCTATATATTTATCTGTGAGTGACTTGTTCAATAATTTAGACAATGGGCAGATGCAAGAGCAACATCTGCTCCTCCTGCTGTCGGGTGTGTTGCCCTGGATTGATCCTCCTGATGTCATTTCAAAGGAAATTGAAGAAGGAAGGAGTGGAAGGTGAGCTGCTCAACATTCTTTTCCTGTTTGATTTTTGTTGTCATATATTCCAAGTCTGACGTTGTGTTGTTGAGATTTTTTTTCCAGTGAGATGATTGATGGTTGTCGCGCATTGTTATCTATTGGGACTGTTACTACTCCTGTTGTCTTTGACAAACTCTTGCGATCATTAAGGTCTTTGACATATAACCTTTTTTTGCAGTTAAAAGCCATTTGGTTTTTCTTTATTCATAGAAAGTTTTTCTTTCTGTTTCTTCAGGCCCTTTGGCACCCTTACACTCTTATCTATGTTAATGGGTGAAGTTGTCAAAGTACTAATGGCAAATAGTACTGATGAAGAGACCTGGAGCTATGAGGCACGCAATATCTTGCTAGATACCTGGACCACACTCCTTGCTGTGAGTATGGTTAAGATTTATTTTATTACTGCTGCATCTATTTATAATATCATGCATCACTGTGTTTATGAAACTTTGTGCCATATCTGGCTCTCTGGGGGTACTTTAGGCATTTTCTTTGTGATCGTCAGGGTATTTATAAAGACCAATTATTGTCTTTGCCAACAAGTTTTTATAGTCTAGAAGAATGATACATTTAAAGTAAATTGTGTCTTATGAGATACTAGTGGGCACTATTTGACCAAAGGTTGTGATGACTCCTGCCAGTCAATGGATGGTTCTGGGGGTAATGCGAGGCTACCACCTGAGGGGATGCATGCTGCAGCTAGTCTTTTTTCATTGATTGTGGAATCTGAACTAAAAGGTAAAGGTTTCCAGACTTTTGACCTCTGCTTTACAACTTCTATTGGTTTGGAACTCTTTTCTTTATCAAATCTATATTCAAGCAAAGTTTGTTTCTCTAGTGGCATCTGCGTCAGCTACTACTGAAGATGATGCTGACTGCCTGGCTTCTGTATCCGGTGAGCATAATAAATGCTATGATTACTGGTTCTTGATCTAGTCTTTTTGCAGCCAGTCTGCAGGTTTTGTGCTGTCCTTTTTTAACATTTTCTTATTATGTTCTGGCAGCCATGGATGAAAGACTAGGCTCTTATGCTCTCATTGCAAGGGCAGTAGTCGATGCTACAATTCCATTTTTAGCAAAACTTTTCTCTGATCATGTTGCACGCCTCCATCAGGTGCTCTTGATCGACCTTCCTTTAGAATATAAGCGAAAGCAACATTCTTTCATCTACTAATCATTCTTCTTTTCCTTTTTGCTCTTAGCTATTTATGCCTTTGTAGCTAACATATCAATATATACCTACATCAAAGCCTTTTTTACAATTGATTAGAAAATCTAGCTCGGTGTCGTTTTTTTAATTCTTTCTAGTGTGCACGAGTTTACTGATTTGTCCTGAGAGGTTGCTTTTGCTCATCTTAATCTACCTGTTTTAGGGCAGGGGCACTGTTGATCCGACTGAAACTTTGGAAGAGGTCTACTCTTTGCTGCTAATAATCGGTCATGTACTTGCAGATGAAGGGGAAGGGGAGACTTCCTTGGTAATTCTTTAACTTTCCTGCATCCTATCCACAGTAATCACAGAAAGAAAGATGCTGACAGGCTTTCCTTCCATTAATTTCCTGTCTATTATGAATATCTTGGTATTCTGAATGCCTTCATCTATCAAAAAATAAGAAAGTTATTATTACCAGATATATCAATTTCAAACGGATACGTCTTGAAACTATCCTTTTTCTTAATAAGTAAATGACCAGTTTCATGAGGCCTGTTATAATACTGTTTTTTCACTAGTAAATTCTTCCCTAGAGTAATTACGAGATGATGTTATCAACAACCAGGTTCCTGATGCGTTGCAATCTCATTTTGTGGATGTTGTTGAGGCAAACAACCACCCTGTCGTGGTACTCTCAAGGTAAGCTTAAATAGAAGCCTTTCCCGACTGAACAGATGAGTGAACTTGAATAATTTGATTTACCAACAAAGATGCCTTCAGTTTTCTTGTGATTCTAAATTACTAGCATATCTCTTTTTGAGTGTTGTACTGTTTCTAAGTATTTATAAGTTAGCCTTGAAGTTTACTTCAGATACTAGAGGCATACTGATATTCAAATTGTTGTGCAGAAGTTTTTTCTCTGAACAGTGGCTATGCTCGTTCGTTATCAATTTAGTAACTTCGATTGTCCTTTTTTTCTTTTTTTCTTTTATTGTAGCTCAATAATAAAATTCGCCGAGCAATGTTTGGATCCAGAAATGAGATCATCGATCTTTAGTCCTCGGCTAATGGAGGTACTTCTAAGTTCTAATTCCTGAATTAAGTAAATTATGACCTGTTTCGAATACAGAGATTCAAATGCATAAAATTTATCATGGTCATTAAGCATTAAAAGAAGAATTACCTTTGTCCTATATATTGATTTGGGAAACATGTAGGCAGTCATATGGTTCCTGGCAAGATGGTCTTTCACATATCTAATGCTCGTTGAAGACTGCAATTTGGGTAGCAACCAGCTTCAGTCTCTACCTTCCAGAGCATGTTTATTCACGTTTTTCAACGAACACAATCAGGGGAAGTTTGTCCTTGATATAATTGTCCGGATCTCCTTGACATCGCTCATGTCTTACCCTGGTGAAAAGGACTTGCAGGTAGTAATCTTCTGTCCTTCTAAAAACGTTATGTGTTTTGATAACCCTCACGTTTATACAATGGTATTTTACTGTCTATAAATACTATTTTTGGTGTGTTGGATGGATATATCATTCAGTTAGTTGTTTGAGACAAATTTTGATAACTAAAGGACTTAGGCCAGGGAATCCAGTTAGCTACAGCGAGATTTCTCTTAGGTTTATTGTGAATTTTCTTATAAGCTGTAGGTTACTTAACTCCCATTTCTTCAAGAATGGTATTCCCCTAATCTTTTTTTTTTTTTCTTTTTCGCTCTCTGCAGGAGTTAACATGTTTTCAGTTACTGCATGCACTTGTTCGACGAAGAAATATTTGTTTTCACCTTCTATCACTGGTGAGTTCAGAAACTCGCCATAGTCGGGCGTAAATGAGGCCGATTTCTGTATTTTATTTTTATCGACTGGGAAAGAAAAAGCCTTTTCCTTAGAATTCTTGTAGATGAACTTATTCAGTTTCTTTAGTATCTAACATTTTATCCAAAACATTCAGGACTCCTGGCGTAACCTGGCAAATGCTTTTGCAAATGACAAAACATTGTTTTTACTAAATAGTGTTAGTCAGGTATATTCCTAAAATTTGCATTTTGGCTCTTTTATATTCATGCATGTTCTGTTTCTTGAAATGATGTTACTTCTATTCAGCGTTCATTGGCTCAAACCCTTGTTCTTTCTGCTTATGGAATGCGAAGTTCAGATGCATCAAATCAGTGAGTTACCAAAATCTTTGCACTTCGCTCACATCTTAACCACAAATTTTGCCTGACCATAACCTTCTTTCTATTTTCGAAAAGATATGTGAAGGACCTCATGGCTCATATGACATCATCTCTAGTGGACTTGTCCAATAACAGTGACCTTAAAAATTTGGCTCAACAACCTGATATTATCATGCTGGTGAGGAAGAAAAACACGTGAAAACTTAGATTTAGTTATTGGTAAATCCTTATAAACAGAAGAAACCACTTTACTAAGCCTTACGTTTGGTGGATATCTTCAGTCCAAGGTAGCAATGGTGGGCTTCAGTACCATTTAGAGCTTTTTTGTTGTTTTATGGCAGTCAAAGTAAACCAAATATTTGACATTTTGATATTGGATAATACACAGATTAAATGCCTCCACAAATCTGAGCGATCGGAGCTGATAATGGATCTAACTGTCGAGATTGATGGGAAGCCTCGAAGAAGCACTTGCTCAATTTACAGCCTAGGAAGTCCTAGATGGAGGGAACCTGTACTTCTGTGGCAGGCAGTTGATTTTTTCTTTTGGAAACTAATTATATACGTTAAAAAAACTACTACTATTCCTTTGCCTTTGGTTTTCCTTTTTGCAACCACAAATGTACATCTTACCAGAAGGCCCAAAAGAAATTGATGATATTGGAAGGACCCAATATTCTTACTGTCGTGGTGAAACGTTTTCAGGTGAGAGTCTTCATCCTCGTTAGTTTGATGGTGTCTACTATTGTTGGGTTTACTCAGAAGAATGATTTATTTTTCGTGCAGTCTGATAACTTTGGAAAGCTGAGCAAACCCATCAATTTCCCCGAGCTTCTCGATATTAGCCCGTATATGAGTGATCCAAATCACGGGGATCATCCCGTGTTTAGTCTCTACGCAGTGGTGGTCCATTTGGATGCTATGAGCACTTCATTTTCAGGTCATTATGTTTGCTACATAAAAACCCTTCATGGAGATTGGTCTCAAAATTGATGACAGCAATTTAGGTCTCAAAATTGATGACCTTAATTAATATAATATCTCGACCTGATTTTAAACCGAAACTCACTCTTTCTGCAAATTTGATCAGTAACCAGGTTTATTATATACGTAGTAGTTTTCACTTGACTCTTGTAGTCTGGATGCTAGGAAATGAGCCTTTTTATGATACATACACATAAAAGAATATGATAATATGTTGTTGTTACAATTTTCCTTCTTTGGCCTGAACATTAAAACACACATATATGAACTAAAATTATAATACAATTGATGAAAGAACATTGTATTGATCATAACCAACGTAGCATAACAGTTATTTATTCATCCTCAAAATCTTTTTCTTAAATTACTTTCAAGGCAAATAATGAATAAGCTAGGTTTACTGAAGTATATTGAACTCTTTACTGAAACATTGCCTGAAATTTGACCTTGTTGTTCTTCTTAAAGCTGATACTCTCGATGTTCTTATTTCATAGGATTGCTTGGTTGGTTGGGCACTGTTGTTGGATTATACAATTGGTGGATGTATCAAATCTGGTATTTGCCTTTGAGTTATATGTATTTGTGGTCTTTTGTTGGTTTAATTCTGATTGGTGTTTTCTTTTGTTTTAGGCATCGTTTTTTGGAGGTTTGGACAAACTTCCTGTGTTCTTAGCTCGACAAACTATACCCGGGGTTGGTATTTTCCTTTTGGATTAAATGGGACACTTGCCGGATCTGCTGTAGTATTCTTCTCATACATTGGATTTGATACTGTAACTAGTACGGTTGAGGAGGTACACAGTTTATTGAACAATACTATCATTCTTTTTGAATTATTATCCTTGTCTTTTCTCTACAAAGGACTCACTTTGACGATTCCGTATAAACCTAACTAGTAATAAAAGAGCATTTTTGGTCTTAGAGTAGTGAACTTTTTTGTTTTCCATAATTCCGCTGATTTTCTCTGTTAAGCTCTTAACCTTTTTGCATTGCCACAACAGGTGAAAAATCCTCAAAGGGATCTTCCATTGGGAATCGGGATTGCATTACTGATAGTCTGATATGCTGCATTTTATGTATGCTTATATCAAAAGTTATTGTTGGATTAGTCCCATACTATTCATTGAATCCTGATACTCCTATCTCCTCTGCATTTGGAGACAGTGGGATGCAATAAGCAGCGTAAATATGATACATCTCTTGAGACAGACTCAAATTTCTTTGTATTAATTAGTGAATATGCATATACACATACTTCCTTTTGTCTTTGCTTTGTTTTTTCTTATTATTCCTATATATTTCAGGTACATCTTAACCACTGGGGCAGTAACTGCTCTATGCGCGAGTTTGTTGGGTTCCCTTCTGGCTCAGGTACTAACCAATTCTAGCGTTCTGAAAATTCAAGTACAGGAGATTTTGTAATTGAGATTTCTTTGTTGTAAAGTAACATGCAGGTTTCATGGATTCTGGAAATGCTTTCATGTCGTTTTGACAGTGTTTTTGTAACTTTTTTTTTTATTAGCCACGAATTGTCATGACATGGCTAGGGGTGGATTGTTGCCGGCTTTTTTTTCAGAAATTAGCCCACGAACTCAAGTACCAGTGAAAAGCACAATAGCTATTGGTGTGCTTGCCGCTGCACTCACATTTTTCATGGATGTTGCACAGTTGTCCGAGATGGTAAGCTGATATTTGCCTACATTACATGTCTCAATTCTTAAGGAAAGATTTTCACCTACAATTAGAGGCAAACAGAAAATTGAGGGTTCATTATTAGTAGGATAGTGTTGATATTGTTGAAGCAATTAGCATTATATAATTGAGTTGAGACACGTCTAAACACACTCTATTACGGTAACCGATCCTTCTCTGAGTAGCTCACTTCGGTAATTTATCCAACAGGTTAGTGTAGGCACTCTAATGGCATTCACTGTCGTTGCAGCCTGTGTGCTAGTTCTTAGATATGTGCCAACAGATGGAGTTCCCCTATCATCACATTGGTAAGCTGATATTTGCCTACATATATATTATATTATACCAATTGATGACAGAAATGTAGGTCTCAAAATATCATTTATATTTATACCAATGATGCCATTTTCTTTTTCTCGAATTCGCAGGTCTTCCCGGTTCAATTAGAGACTGTATTAACTAGAAGGAGCATACATGCTTCTTTATGCAAGGTGAATGAATAGAATACAAAGAGATCATAGAAACCCAACTCTTTAAGCAATGTTTGATTGATCTCAAGGGACTTTGGTAATAATTTTGAGTCTGATGAACTCATTAAGCAATGTTTGATTGATCTCAAGGCCTTTGGTAATAAACTCTGTTTTGTGGCATGGTTGAGGTCACTAGAATCGGTTATGGTTCTCCCAAACTCATACAACGACCATGGAGCTGCGCTTGGGGAGAAGGAACCTTTGGGTGGCCATATGAGGTAGCTGAAAAGGTAAGTAGAACCTAATCCTGCCTCCAGAAACGCTCTTCTTCTTGGAGGTACGTTTAATTTCTCCTCTTTTTGCTCTCTAATCTTTCCCGTTGGGATGTTGAAAAATCATGGAAATTGCCAGAAAATTTCTGTCCAGAATTTACTGATTCCACTAGAGAAATTAGAATTAGAATTGGTTTTGAAATTAGAATTGATTTCGGTTCGGTTTTCATTGGTTTTGAAATTAGAATTGATTTCGGTTTAGTTTTCATTGGTTCTGAAATTAGTTCGGTTTGCGTTGGAATTAATTAAGAAAAAATAAAAAGTCACGCACGCGAGGCTTTTTAAAAAAGGAGCGAGTGTTCTTCAAAACAGGCCATTTGGTGGGTTAACACCCACAGAAAACGGAGACACGCGCTCAACTCGCGAGTGGTGAGAGTGGGCGTGAAATCGCGCGATGGGTGAGAGAGGGGTGTGACATGGAGCCATCTGATTGGCTAATATAATGAAAATAGTAGTGATATAGCTCCTACCTTCCTCCTCTCATAATAACTTTTATTATTACTTCTTCTCTTTTCGTCTTCTATCTATAAAAAACTTTTAGACAAAATATTGTCTAGTTTATATTATTAGGCAGCTTGAGATTGAAATTAAGATTTCTTCAATCTGAAAGTTCATGTTTTAGATACAATTGAGAGTCTTATTCTCAGCTTTTGGGTTATATTGAAATCCTTCATGTCACCAAAAGAACACAAAATTTTGTGAATTTGTATGCTGGCAATGTTTCATCATTATAAACGATTCTGTTTTCATAGAGTAAAACACACAACTTGTTGGAAAGTGATTTAACAATACTTTGTTTAACTCTCTTGATAACATCACTTTATTGACCACTGTGGTCTTAAAAGGAATTGCTCACAAACTGTTTTCTTTTTTTCATTGTTACAGCATCTTAATAATCTTCCATTTCTTTTTAAGAAAACAAAGATTTTTATTCCTTCAGTCCTCTGTTCTTGAGTTTGTTGTACCTGTGAGTTTGTTGTTGCTCAACTCCAATACATTTCAGGGATAGTGTTTGCGGGATTTTGCCAGAGAGGTTATTGTGTGAAAGGTCTAAGATCTCAACCTTCTCAAGATTTCCAAAACTTTGTGGGATCAATCCAGAGATGTCGTTGTATGAGAGGTTTAAAAGCTTTAAGCTTTTGAGATTGCCTAAAGAATATGATATTTCTCCGAATAGCTTGTTCTTGGAGAGGTCTATCAGAGTGTTGAGGTAGAGGTTTCTGTTGGCAAGACCTTGCTTTGAATTCTTCCAGTTCACTGCTAAGTCGTGTGTTTCGATAGTGAAGCTGTACATGAAAGGCAAAGGCAAAGACGAGCTCGGCAGAGATTCTTTCATGCTTGTGAGATTCCCAAGAGATGAAGGGAGAGTCGGAGAGATCCATCAAGATTGTTCTCAGAGAGATCCAAGACCTTGAGACTTGTGAGATTTGATATGCCTTCTGGGATTGAACTTTCGAGGGAATTGTTTCGCAGGCTAAGTACTCGTGAGAAGAAGACAACCGGGAGATAAAACTCGGACGTTACCGAAGATTTTGTTGTCATGAAGATCAAGATACATCAAAGATGGGGGATTGGTGAAGTCGTGAGGGAATTCGCCGCTGAAGTTGTTCTGACTCATTGAGAGCATTATGGTGTTTGATCCAAAAAAAGCTGGAACATCCCTAGAGAACTCATTGGAAGATATATCGAGTAACGCAAACAATGACTCGGGGTCGAACCTTGGGAATTCACCTGGTAATCTGTTCTTTGACAAGTCATGCTTTTAGCTCTTCCTGGTTCCTTGAACAAGTATGAACTTTTGCACCCAACTTTGCTAGTAACCAATATTATATGTTTCTAATTTCTAAATTTTTAAAAATGTGTCATAAGTGGTTAATGTTTGTCCGATAATTTTTGAGGTTAATGTTCTGGTTGTGTGCAGAATAATTTTTGTGGTTAATGTTCTTCTCACGTTTTTAAATTTCCAAATTGATCATAAAACGCCAGATTCAATGCTTCAATACTTATAATACTAATTAGTACTCGCAAATCAAAAGTTCTAAAAAATTTACGAGGAACTTCTCCTTTCCGTAACTAATTGGGATTCAGGGAACTTACATTTGTTTTTCAAAAATCATAAACTATAAAGATGTATCGGTTTGAAATATTGTTTAGTCCGGAAACAAAATCGTGTTATATTACTGATGGTTGTGACAAAAAAAAAAACACAATGGTTTTCAGTGTTGATAATTATTTTAGTGTTGCATTTGTATGTGTTAAATTAAATTATTATATTGATATTTTAAATAAATTAATTTTCTTTATTACTACAAATCACAAAATCAAAAAGGCTAAAATATATATAGATCATATATCTTTTTGTGTTTATGTATGTAAACTAAAAAACACTAGAAATGTTAAAAGTGAAACGTATATGCAAACACAAAACTCAAATGATACAGTCAAGCTTTAGACGTTAATAAATAAAAAGTAAAAGCACGAACGTCCCACAATTTTAAATCTCCTTGTATTGGACTTTGATTTTCCGTATAAACTTCATCAATCTATTATCTAGAGTAGATTTATTTTACTTGTAAACTAAAATCAAATGTTTTTGGACGACTTGGTGGGATATATATAGGGCATGCATGTTTGAAGGTCTTTCTATTTGAGAAAACAAAAATGGAAGGTCTTTTGCATTTTCTTTTAGCTAAAATCATTTTGTTGGCTTTAGCATCTTCGCTTGTATATTGTTACGACCCATCTCCTCTTCAAGACTACTGTGTTGCCACCAACGAAACTAATGGAGGTAATCTCTCTATTTGTTGCACATACATGGCTCCTTTGATATTCTTCAATCTGGATATATTATGCCAAAAATCATAGTAACATAATTATATCATTCAAACCTCAAAACAAATGTTTTGATGTTTTACACAGTTTATGTAAATGGAAAGTTCTGCAAAGATCCAAAATGTGTAACGACGAATGATTTTTATACTTCCGGCTTAAACGTCCCCGGAAACACCAGCATCGGTCCCGGCACCAAAATCACCGTCGTGGATGTCGAAAGAATGCCTGGTCTCAACACTCTTGGGGTCGACATTGCCCGCTATGACTTCGCCCCGGGTGGTCTAGACCCACCTCACACACACCCGCGTGGCAGCCAGATCTTCTTAGTCATGAAGGGCAAGCTTTTCGTTGGATTTGTGTCGTCGAATGAATACAACTACACGCTCTTCACCAAAGTTCTTTATCCGGGAGATGTATTTGTGTTTCCCAAAGGTTTGATACAATTTCATGCGAATTTTGGGAAGACAAATGCGGTTGTGATTTCTGCGGCTGGGAGCCAAGAGCCCGGTAGGATCATAATAGGTGATGCGGTTTTCGGATCGAAACCTTTGATTGATCCCAAGGTTTTGGCTAAAGCTTTTGCGTTGGACTTGAACAAAGTGAAATATCTTCAGGCAGTGTTTTCTTGATGACATACGTAATTATAGCCTACGAGAATAATGATAAAATATAGTTAATTATGACGAAATAATCTGATGGTCTAAAGAGACCTGAATATTTGGATTTTTGGAATGTACTACAAGTCTACACTACTATTTTTTCAAGGAAAATAATGAATAAGCTAGGTTTTAATCTATTTTAAGAAAAAAATATATGGGCCGAATAAAGAGATTCATGGGCCTGATTAAATGGACACTATCCAGTTAAAGTATGCAAACAGAAACGTTTCCTTTCGAATCACACAACCCACAACGATTTCGGTGAAGTTCGCCGTCGCCGGAACTCATGGATCGACCACCGTCGTTTCCTCACTATCAACACCCTAATCCGAACTTCTTCCACCACGTTCCTCCTCCAAATCCTAATCCTAATTTCTTCTTCCGACCTCCTCCAGCTCATCTTCAAAATCCTAACAATTACTCCATCGCTCCTCCGTCTCCGCCGCCGATTCGCGAGCTCTCCGGTACACTCACTTCTTTACAATCCCTGTTGTCGGAATGTCAAAGAACCTTAGATTCTCTCTCGCAAAATCTAGCTTTAGACCACTCTTCGCTTCTCCAGAAGGACGAAAATGGCGGTTTCGTTCGTTGCCCTTTTGATTCAAATCACTTAATGCCACCTGAAGCTCTCTTTCTCCATTCACTTCGTTGCCCAAATCCTTTTGACCTCACTTATCTTCTTGGATCCTTTAGTTGTTACCGGAGCTCACTCGAGTTCAAATGTTGTGAACTACAGTTGAATAATAACGGTGATATCTGTGTCTCTTTAGATGACTTCGCTGATTTTGGGAGAAATTTCTTTTACAGAGATTGTCCAGGAGCTGTTAACTTCTCTGAGCTCGATGGTAAAAAGCCAACTTTAACACTTCCTAATGTTCTATCTGTGGAATGTAGCGATTTTGTAGGTTCTGATGAGAATGAGAAAAAGAGTGTGTTGGATAAATGGTTAGGAGTTTTACCGTCTGATCTCTGTGCAATAAAGAGTGAGATTAATCAATGGAAGGATTTCCCAAGTTCGTATTCCTATAGTGTTCTTTCTTCGATTGTGGGTTCAAAAGCGATTGCAACGAGCGACTTGAGAACATGGATTCTGGTTAATTCGACGAGATATGGTGTTATAATCGATACATTCATGAGGGCTCATGTATTCTTGCTCTTTCGGTTGTGTCTGAAATCGGCTGTGAAAGAAGCTTGTAGATTGATAGAGTCTGATGCTAATGCTGTTGGTGAGCAGAAGATTATGAGCTGCAAAAGTAGAACATTTGAGTGTCCAGTCTTGATTCAAGTGTTGTCTTGGTTAGCTTCTCAACTTGTTGTCTTGTATGGAGAAGGAAATGGGAAGTATTTTGCTTTGGACATGTTTAAACAGTGCATAGTAGAATCTGCCTCTCGGGTAATGTTGTTTCAGTCAGAAGGAACAAGACCTAAATGCTCTGGAGTTTTCGAGGATTTGGATGATGCAAGCTTGAGTAATAAGGATGTGAAGATGGAGAAGCCCTTTGAAAATAGTTCAGGTGGGGAAGGTGGCAAAACTTTGGACAGTCCACAGGTGATTTCTGTGTCTCGTGTTGCAGCAGCTGTTGCAGCTTTGTATGAAAGATCCTTGCTTGAAGGAAAAATAAGGGCAGTTCGATATGCCCAACCACTAACAAGATATCAGCGGTAGGTTTGAAATCTTTCAAAGGCGATTCTGTTTTTCCAACTTGATTTTTTGTTTATTAAAGCATCATATCATGTTTGGATCTGATTTTGATTCCTCGTGATGTCTCTGTCTTTCAATCTGTAGGGCGGCTGAGCTTGGTGTTATGACAGCTAAAGCTGATGAGGAACGGAATAGACGTTGTAGCTACCGACCTATTATCGATCATGATGGTCTTCCGAGACAACGCTCATCAAATCAGGTTAATACTAAACTAACTGTTATATAACATGAAGGAAACAAATATCACTGTAGGGAACTTTTATTGAAGGAACCGAAATTCATATATTTTATTGTGTATCATGTGTAGGATATGAATAAAATGAAGACAAGGGAAGAGCTTTTAGCAGAAGAGAGAGATTATAAGCGTCGGAGAATGTCATACCGTGGAAAGAAGGTGAAACGAACGCCTCGACAGGTAAGCTGTTTCCTTTTCTGTGCCTAACTGCCTATGATAATCACAATTTCCAGTGTTGTGAATGTTTTGCTGCAAAATGGTCAATGTTTGGACAGTCTCATTGAAATATTGTTAGAAAAAATGTAGAATATGTTGGTTCTAGTATTGTATTGTTGAGGCATTTTGCAGATTTTGTGAAAAAACTGGTCCTTGCTATATTCATACTTTCAGTTATGACCATCGTTCAGTTAGCAATAAACGTATATTATCCTCTTCTTTCAATGAGTTTTCTCCATCTTTTGTCTTGTAGGTGTTACATGATATAATAGAAGAATATACAGAAGAAATTAAGTTAGCAGGAGGTATTGGGTGTTTTGAGAAAGGAATGCCATTACAATCCCCGTCTCCTATAGGCAGCGATCAGAAAGAAAGTGACTTTGGATACAATACTGCACCACCAACATCAACAGACGCATCATCAAGCTTCTATAAGCAATGGAAAGGAGAGAACCGTGCAGCTATTGAATATCCAATGGATGATAGAAACAATTCAGATAAAGTAAAGCGGCATGTTGAGTATGATTCAGGTAGCTCACAGAGACAACAGAGTCACAGATCATATAAGCACGGTGATCGAAGAGATGACAAGCACAGTGATCGTAGAGATGACAAATTCACAAGGAGCGAACGACATAGCCTTGAAAGGAAATCTTATCATCGAAACCACAGATCATCTCGTGAGAAGAGTTCTTCAGATTATAAGACCAAAAGGGATGATCCTTATGACCGCCGCAGTCGGGAACCTAGAAATCAAAATTCTTTTGAAGATAGATACATACCAACAGAAAGGGAATGAACTTAAAAGAAGGTAAGTCATTTAAAAACCATCTGTCTATCTCCTTACCATCGTGTGGGCTAGTCTGACTTTGAAATGGGGTGGTTTATTCCGATGATCTTGCAGTAAAAGTTTACCTGGAGCATCAGCAATTATGTGTGAATCCGTATCCTCTTTTGTATCCTTAACCAAATTTTTTCCTTCTTTGATGCATCTAAGTGTTAACCAAATGTTGGTGATATTCTCAAATTTCCAGCTATCTCTTGCGTTTATAGATTCACTGTAGTTGCCATTCCTGTCTAGATAGTTTCAGTTTCTTTTTTCTTCTTTGGTTGTGACAGATTGAAGTTAATTCAAGTATGTTCTTGCTATGAAGAAGCCATGAGCCATGAGATTGCTGGGAAGAAGTGCCAAACTCCATAATTGTGAGAGACTGCAATGTTTTAAGTCTGTTGTTACTTGTTACTTTAGAAAACGGTTGTAGACGACAGCACACCAGTTTAAGTGATGTAACCCGTACTGATTTTTGCCGCAGACTTCTCTAATTCCTGATAGAACATAGTTTTACTTAAATCAACAAAAACAAAAAGACTGTAACAAAAGTTAAACTAAAAACAAACCAATAAATAGCGAGCTGAAGAGAAACTTGCAAAGCAAGGAACTGAAACTGCTAGAGCAATTGGCCAACATGATTCTTCTAATGCTGAATAGAAACTTGACTAGATCTCTCCTTCCTCCTTAATCTCTTCCAGTTCCGGCCAATAATCAATTCTTAAAACTAGACCAAGTTCTTTAAGACACCGAGTTCTTGCCAGATAGGATCCACCACAGAGTTTCACTATCTCCTTCTCAGTTTCCAAGTGATCTTCGAAATTGGATTTGGCTTCTTCTTCCAACTTCTCTCGTGCAAGCCGTTCCTCGCGTACTGCTTTCAACCTGGCGGCACTAGTCTCAGCTTCAATTGTAGCTTTCACTTGACGTTCCCTTCTTTCTAAAAGTTGCTTTTCTTTCTTCATTCTCATCATCACATCAGCCTTGTTACTACTCTCGTCAATGAGCTTACTATATCTGGCTTTCACGATAGCATCTGAAAATCGAATCCTGATTGTTGCCGCACGAAGAGCTTTCTTAGGAGATAAAGGCATTGTCATAGCAAACCCTTTTGAACCTTGATCTGATTTGCTCTCAAGATTATCCTTTTGTTCAATCCTGGAAACTTCAGAAGCTAACTTCTTCTTTACGGATTCCCATCTGATCTCAAAAATCTTCTTAAGCCTCTTAGCGTTCTTGTGAAGCATATTCTCAGGAGGATAATAGCGAACCGCGTTGGCGAAGACTAATCGAACATCTTCCGGAAACTCTCGTACAGTATTTACGTAGAGATTCTTGTCGAGTTTGGATTTGATTGTGACGAAATCCATTGGCTTTGAAAGAGCAGAGAAATAATCAGGATCGTCCGTGACGAGCTTCTCAAAACGCCAACCAAACCATTCCACTTTCAACGATTTTAGTACATCATGACACTGACTACACAAGGACAACTCACGATCCAGCTTTTGCTTCTTCTTCGTATTTGTCTGATCAACATTAACCTCTTCTACCTCTTTGGCTCCACGCTTCTTCCTCGATCGATTGGCTTCAGAGCCAACCTGTATCCTCAGTTTGTTTTCTGTAACCATTCTTACAAACTTGAGGAAAACCCGACAGAGAAACAGCACAAATTAAAACAGAACGTCTTCTCGTTCGATTATACAGAGAGTCAACAGTAAGAACGATTGAGGGAAGCTAGGGTTTTGACGTTTTGATCAAGTTTATGGAACTAGCTTCAAGTGTTTAGACTTTAGATATAGAGTCTAAAATCTCCTGATTATATATTGGAAATAGAGTTAGGGCTGAACATAGATAAGAAAGGAAATTGGAAATTGGAAAAAAGGAAACTAAGTAATTGTTAGTCTAATACAAAATAGGATTTAGAAGTAAATAAAAGGAAACTAACAAGTACTTAGTTATCCTGATCACAAATAATGATAACAATATATCCACACTTAATTAAGGTTCCCATTTTAAAAACCAATATTAATCTATTTTTAATCCACTTTTCTTACATTTATATGAATTTAATGTAACCCGTGAGGGTTAGATTACGTGTGAAATAAGAAAACTTATGTATTTCAAGAAACCAAAGACATCACTCGTTTGAAACTCTGGGGACGAAGACGATGACCAGAGCCATTACTGATCATCTCAGAAGAACCAGCAATGGCTAATCCTTTACCACCAAAACACAAGTATCTGTTCATAAAAGATCCCTTTTTCTTCTTCTCCCTAATTCCGAAGAAACCGTCTGAAACGGCGAAGAACAAGCCGACGACGGAGCTGGAGAGTAATCAGAAACCGCGGGAGGCAAAAACAAGAACCTCGGAGATTCCTGAACCACGACTCCTAGGCGAAGAACAAGCCGACGACGGAGCTGGAGAGTAATCAGAAACCGCGGGAGGCAAAAACAAGAACCTCGGAGATTCCTGAACCACGACTCCTTTCATTAACCCTTGTGTGAATATCAGTCTCACCGATAAACTCGGAAGATCACCACTCTCTGTTCTCATCGGAAACGCTCTTCCTCTGTTACAAGACGACGGCGAATACATCTCTCTGAGAGGAACAAGACCGTTGTTGTCTCCGGAGTAACGGCGATTTTCCTCTGATTCTTCCCTCTTCGCCCACCGTAAAAGAAGCTTAAGACGCGCTCATGTACGGCCACAACCGCCGCGTTTGCGTTTAGAATGCGTTTAGATTTCGCTCGAGCAGTCACTGATTCCATCAAAACTCTCACTTTCTGGACTAGTGGCATATGAAGCCATATATGGATCGGATATTCATTTACTTGAACAATACGATCACACAACTAAAGATAACTAGTGGATTTAATTGTTCTATAGTATAGCTTGTGTGTATGATAATAATTTGAAATTTCTACAATTTTAAATGTGCAGTTAATGTCTTGGTTGTGTGCAAGTATAATATGTGTATGCTTGTGTACTTTATCAAGCAAATCATAATCACTTCTTCTCAAGTTTAAAATTTTGATATGAATTTATCAAATTTGCCCCTGTTTAATAACCGTTGTAAATATGATGGAAGTCCAAAATACAACTGTTTTTCAACATTATAGATCAATTTCTTTTGAATTTCTTGGAAAAAATGTCAAAGTGACACATATAGGAGATAACTAAAATTATCGTTGTTCCGGTTAACATGAACTCAGATGAGACGGTCAAACCTAACACGTTAATATTAATAACCAGAAAATAAAGCATGAAAATCCCAAAATTCAAAATTTTCTTTTTTGGGGCCTTTGATTTTGCCGTAGAAACTAGGTCAAGCTATTATGTATTGTAGATGTAATTTACTACTTGTAAGCTAAAATCAGTGTTTTTGGACGACTTCTGGGGCTATATATAGCGCATACATTATTCTCAAGCAGCATCGTTCAATCGACAAAGTAAAGGGATAAAGATGACATTAGCATTTTATTTGAAAATAATGAAGTGTCTTCTTCATGTTCTTGTGTTTAAAATAATCTTGTTGGCTTTAGCATCTTCGTTTGTATCTTGTTACGACCCATCCCCTCTTCAAGACTACTGTGTTGCCACCAACGAAACTAAAGGAGGTAATCTCTCTATTTGTTGCACATACATGGCTCCTGTCATATCTTTGAAACATTATATTGTACCGAAAATCATTTAAATCTCAACACCCTTTATTTGTATTTTCACAGTTTTCGTGAATGGAAAGTTTTGTAAAGATCCAAAACTAGTAACTGCCAATGATTTTTTTTATTCTGGCCTAAATATCCCCGGAAACACCAACAACCCCCTTGGTGCATCGGTCACCGATGTTGATGTTAGAAGAATCCCTGGCCTCAACACTCTTGGGGTTGTCATTTCCCGCTTAGATTTCGCCCCCGGTGGTCAACTTTCATCGCACATACACCCACGTGCCTCCCAGATCATCTTAGTCCTCAAGGGAGAGCTCTCAGTCGGATTTGTGTCTTCAAACGAGTACAACTATAAGCTCTTTCCCAAGGTCCTTTATCCCGGAGATGTGTTTGTTTTTCCCATCGGTTTGGTACAGTTTCATGCTAACAACAATGGGAAGACAAATGCGGTTGCGATTGGCGTATACGGGAGTCAAAACCCCGGTGTGATCCCCATAGGTAACGCGGTTTTCGGGTCGAACCCCTTGATTGATCCAAAGCTTTTGGCTAAAGCTTTTGCGTTGGACGTGAACACAGTGCGACATGTCCAGAGGGTGTTTTCTTCCGATGATTACATAGCTAATTAGTTTAAAAGAATACCAATATATACCTTTGTTCAGCAAAATATATATATATCATGTATATTTAAGAGAGCCCCATATTTAATTTGTGAGTGAAAATATAAAGTATGTAATAAGTTTTGAAAATACATGGATTTAGATTACCGATTGCATACGAAATAGATTTTGGTCTAAACCTAGATAGGAAAAAGGAAACTAAATGAATTTAGATAATTTACTAGTTATCCCAATAACAAAAAAACGTAAATAATATTTCCACACTTAAATTAAAACCAATGATCTATTTTTCAGTCACTTTTCTTACATTTATATGAATTTAATGTAACCCATGAGGGCTAGGTTACGTGTGACAAAAGAAAACTATGTATATTTCAAGAAGAAACCAAAGATATCACTCGTTTGAAACTCTGGGGACGAAGACGATGACCAGAGCCATTACTGACCATCTCAGAAGAACCATCAATGGCTAATCCTTTACCACCAAAACACAAGTATCTGTTCATAAATGATCCCTGTTTCTTCATCGCAGGAGTTCTTCTCCCTAATTCCGAAGAAACCGTCTGAAACGGCGAAGAACAAGCCGACGACGGAGCTCGAGAGTAATCGGATACCGCGGGAGGCGAAAACAAGAACCTCGGAGATTCCTGAACCACGACTCCTTTCATTAACCCTTGTGTGAATTTCAGCCTCACCGATAAACTCGGGAGATCACCACTCTCTGTTCTCATCGGAAACGCTTTTCCTTTGTTACAAGACGACGGCGAATACATCTCTCTGAGAGGAACACGACGATTGTTGTTATCTCCGGAGAAACGGCGATTCTCCTCCGATTCTTGCCTCTTCGCCCACCGTAAAAGAAGCTTAAGACGCGCTCCTGTACCGCCACCACCGCGGCGTTTGCGTTTAGAATGCGTCGAGATTTCAGTCGAACACTCACTGATTCCGTCAAAACTCTCTCTGTCTGGACTTAATTCAGCGTTTGCTGCGGTTTGATCTGTTCTCGCCGCCGTGAAGAGAAAAATCTCAGAATCAGATATCTCAAACGAAGTTCCTGGACTACCGCAGAATCCATAACGCTCTTCTCTCAACCGCGAAACGTTTTCACCGCAGTTTGATCTCCCACCGGCCGATACAAGCCGTTTAATCAACAATTCAGAAACCACTGTTTTCGGCGTTTGACGTTTAAGCAAATCAACGGCAGTCATTCCATAAGAATCAACAACGTTAAGATCAACGCCAGGGATTCTCATCAGAATCTCAACGACGTCAGGTCTAACGGCGTTAAGATTATCCATCACAGCTAAATGAATCACAGTTCTTCCGTTACAATTTCTAACGTTGACAATCTGAGAAAAGTCAACGGACAAGTTTCTTCCTCCTCCTGAGACTAACATCTTCAGAAGCTCCATCTGCCGGTCTAACCGCTTAAACCCAGACGCAGCAAAACCAGACACGACCGTGTGAAGAAACGTGTCACCATCTCCATTAACAACAGAAATCAACGGTGGAAATTCGTTTATAAGAGCTTCCACTACGTCTAAATGACCCTTGTAAGCAGCTATATGCAAAGCTGTGTTTCCATGGCTGTCTTTAACTTCCATTATCGAATTATACTTCGATATAAGATACTTCACCACCTACATTTTTTTTAATAAATCATTTATATGAATTAATGAATATGTATATGTTAATAATTATATGATTTGTGTTCTTACTTGGATTTGAGCTCTGCTAGAAGCAGAATGTAAAAGAGTAGAACCATAAGCATCTCTGAGTTTTGAAACGGCGTCGTATTTGCAAGAGAGTAAGAGTTCATCGAGGATTGCCACGTGTCCGCCTCTCGCGGCACTGTGGACCCCTCTTTTAACCATCTCCTCTTTTACTATTAACTGCTTCTCTGTTAATTTTTTCCCGTCGGTTTCTTCGACGCCGGCGATATCAGCCGGCAACAATGCGAAATCGAGAAGAAGGCGGAAAACGTCGTCGTTTCGACCACGAGCCGCCGCGTAGAGGATATCAGTGACGCCGTATTCTCCTTCTCCGAACACGAGAAGTGGATCTCTCTCTAGAAGCTTTTTCACGAATTCTAAATCACCGGCGGAAGCGGCGGTGTAGAGAAGCCAGCCACCGTAGCCAGCTCTGATGAGGGAATTGTCTCCGTTTCCAATTTCGCACTCTTCCAATAGCCTCCTCGCTACGCGGGAACGGTTTAGAGCCACGTGGCAGTTATTCCCGTCTCCGTCGTCCCAGACGGTTTCGAGGCGGCGGATACGGCGGAGGGAGGTGAGTTTGACGAGGAGGTTTGTGTCTTGGTGAAGCAGCTCGATGACGACGTCGTACAAACCATTTGCGGCGGCGCAATCGATTGGTGAAGCGTACCACCACTGGTCGCCGGTACTTTCCCACCGGAGAGGAAATATCGACGGTGGCATTTCCGGTTTAGATAATAAACCGGTCTTCTTCGGTTTTAGTGAACCAAAATCAAAGAATCTTAAAGAAAACAGAGGAAGTAGATTACAAAGATGAATTTGAATGGTTTGAAACCAATGGAGATTTTTTAACGACGAACACAAAGTGATGAAGCAGAAGACAACAAAAAGGAGAAACCTTGAAGATTGTTTTGTTGTGGCGAAGACGGAACTTGTGTGTATGTTTCACCAGAAAAAGAAAAAATTAGTATTTTTGGGAGCATCGAAAATATACAGATTCCATTCCCGTGAGTGGACCATATCTGACGGGATTTATCCTTTTTTTTTTTAATTAATCATGTTATGATCCTGAAAAAGTTTTGTATATTCTGAAAGGTTGTTAATTTTACATAAGAAAGAAGAATGTGTAAGAATATTAAAGTGCAGCAAGAATTTTGGTTATGGTTACCTTTTTCAGTAAAAAGTACTGACAATCCATTATTCAGTAAAGTTAAAAATGTTTAAGAAATTGTATAAGCAAATAATTGAATGATGTTTCATCTAATTAGACGCGTCGCTCGTTTGGTTGAAACCAGACGTGGAGCTATTATTGATACTAGTAGTTTTGTTACTTTGTGCACAATAAATCGACATGTAAATGCTCTAAATAATCTAAATTTCGATAAATGTAGACCAAAGAAAAAGTGCCCACCTGTGGCAGCTAACACTTGGGGGCCCTTATTAATAATATTTAATCAATAATTCATTAAATATGCATAATGATTTATAGTTAAAGCTTAACCATCATTATGAAGTTGAAGAAGACTACTCAATTTTATTTTATTTTAATAATTTCAAAATATCCAAAAATATATATTTTGTTTTGTTTGGGGATATGGATCTACCTTTCTGTCGGTGTGAACTGTGAAGTGTGGACGCATCCAAATGCACATGTATTTGTCCATAAACTCAATGCTCATTATAATAAAATGCTCTTGGATCCCACACTTGTGTAAACTCTACCATAAATTAGTCTTGATGTGAATAATCCTGCCATAACTCTAGATCTTGATATGTCTCAATGAAGAGACGTTTACAAAGTCTTAAGTCAAAACAGACAACAAACATAACTTGCGATTTCCTCTTATCATCAAGAATTCAAGATCGTGTCAGAATCAATCAACTCCAGAGTTCCAAATCTTAACAACTCTTCTTGAATTCGAAGTCCGAGTTTCTTATGCATTGACCAAAGAACTTGAAATCTTTATGCATGGTCCGGTCTTGTTTCTTTCTCAAGCATGAAGAGACCACTTCTCATCACAATCTGGTAAGTAACAGTCAAGCCATTGTAATAACTAATAACCTCACTTTACAGGGGCAGTAAGTTTCACAGTCTTCATGATGTGTTCGATTCTCTCAGCGGATTCATGCATATTCTTCTTCTTGACCTCTTCCAAAAGCAGCAAACAAGTCCGGTGCCTCGGCGTGATATCTTGGCTAATCATCTCTTCGAATAGACAATACGCCCACTCACATATATTAGCTCTGCATAACCTCTGTATCAGAAAAGTATAAGTCGATTCATCAAGGCTGAGATGATGTTTAGTCACCATTTCTTTCAATAATTTCCCAACCTCAACAACATCTCCTCTCTTAAAACAAGATCTCAGCAGAGGTTGATACGTATGAACATCGGGATTACAAAGGTTTGAACTTTCCATTTCCTTGAGAAGCTCAATCGCCTTATCTTCCTCATCATGATGACAATACATAGCAATCATAGAGTTATAGGTGGATGTATTAATGGAAACACCAAGCTCTGGCATCTCAACTCTGAAAACCCTCTCAGCTTCTTCTAACCGACCAGCTCGAGCAAGGGTGTGAATCAAGCAGTTGTAGAAAAGAGAATCGGGTTGACAACCAGATCTTTTCATCCTTGTAGCTACCCGTAAAGCCTCCTCAAACTCTTTCTGTGCATTAAGAGAAGACATTATAGTTGTGTAAGTAATAGAATTCGGAGGAGACCCATTTGCTTCCATTTCACTTAGCATTTCATAGACCTTGACAAACTCAGACTGCTGGCAATAACACCTTATAATCGTCGTATAGCTAATAACACAAGGACGAAATCCATGGCCTTTCATCTCTTGGATCGTCCAAAGAGCTTCCTCAACTCTATTTGCCTTACACCAACCGTGAATGAAGATATTAAACGTATGAGCATTCGGCGTAATGTGTGACTTAAGCTCTAGCAAAACTACTCGAGCCTGCTCCACTCTTTTCTCCTTGCAAAGCGTATCAAGCAACAGATTCATCGACTCCGTGTTCTTCTCCAATCCAAATTCACCCAACTTATCAAATATTCCCACAGCTTCTTCCCACTCCCCTGCACCAGCAAATCTCCTCATGATCTTAGCAATTGTATTCAAAGTAACAAGCTTATCCCCTCTCATTCTCTCCACAAACTCCTTCATCCGATCCCATTTCTTCGCCTTCCCGAGAATATCCACCGCCATATCATAAGCATCACTCGAATGTTTATGCCCTTTACAAGACTCAGCCCATTTCAAAACACCAAGCGCAGATTTCCAATCATCTCTAAACCTATGAAGCAGCTTATGAACCAAACTATCAGAAAGATTAACTCTGTTACAGATTTCATCGTTAGATAGACGATTAAAAACATCATCTTCACTATCTCTATCACCGTCTCTACCTACAATAACATTCCATATCTCCTCAGACTGTGAAGATTCATCAAGAGGTAATTGCTCCGAGGCTGTAGAAAGATTCTTGATGAACGTAGAGAAAAAAGCGATAGAAGACGAAGAAGGTTTAAGGCGTAACAAGGTGTTTCCAATGCGATTTTGAATAAGCCAAGACATTAAATCTAAAACCCAGAACAGGGTTCTTCAACTGCAACCACAGAAAAAATCCAATTTTTATCTTCAACAATGAAATTTGAATCTTAATGGTGACATAGAACGAATATAACTGAGACATGGAAATCAAAGCTCGTACCTGAACGCTGGAGCAAAGGGAAAAGATGAAAAACAACGACGGCCGTCTCGCCGGAGAGATTTTGACGAGGACTAATCGCAAGAGAAGGGTTTTATCTTTGGCCCAAAGAACATGACATGGCCCATCTAAAGCCCATTACAGAACCGGTTAGGCTTTGTGTTTGGAAAAATCTTGTATAGTGTTTTGAGACCAATGGAAAACACACAAGCTTCTTGTGTCTGATATATCTACGACATTACTACTTAAACAAGCTTTCTTGTGCCTATTTACATAGCTACGTAATTTATAGCAACACTTAGAAACGAATTTAAGAACATAAACGTAATCAACAGCAAGAAAATAAGGCTCCTCTGCATCAGTCTTTTCCGTGAAGCTTCTGAGTAAGTATTGAATGTGTTCGAGGACTGATATTGCAACCATTTTTTTCCATTTCTTGGAACAGTTGAGAACATTCTTCTACAAGTCCCTGCTTGAGCATACCATCAATGAGGATTTTCCAAGCTATTTCATCATCGTTGTAACCACACCCAAGAAGCTTCTTGAAAACTGAATATCCTCTCTCTCTTTCTCCTTTTTCATATAGCCCGCAAATCAACGTTTTGCAATGCTCTAACTGCGGTGAGTGATCACTGCATATCATATCTTCAACAATATTTGCAGCTTCTCCATACTTTTGTAGCTTGCAGCAACAGCTAATCACTGCATTAAAAATCATCTCACTTGGAGATATTCCTTCTTTTTGCATCTGATCCAACAGCTTCAGTGCTATTCCTAGATTCTCGACTTTACAGATACCCGATATGAGCTTCTCATAGCATTTCGCATCAGGTGTACACCCATGTTTTGCCATCTCCTCAAAGAGTTCGATAACAATATCATACTCCATCACCTTCCACATATTACTACCCGACACATCCCCAATATTAGACACCAACTCTATACCTGTTTCACCACTTTTATCTACTACATATTTCTTCTCGAAGAGCTGTTTGATCAGAGATAAAAATGTATGGTGAGAAGGTTCACAGTCAGCATCGAACATGCGCTTCAGAACATCAAATGCAGAATATGTCAGTCCTAGTTTTCCATAAGCTTTGATCAGTGATGTATAAGTGAAATCATCTGGAGGAACACCTTCTTCCTTCATCTGCACCATCATATCCTCCGCTACTTGCACTTTTCCTGCACTACAATACGCCTCGATAAACGTGTTGTAAGTACGTGCAACAGGCTTCTCTCCAGAGGACATCATTTTTTGAAGACATTTATGGGCATCATCAAAATCTCCTTGTTTTAGCATTCTTCCAATCAGAATATTATATGTGTAGACTGTAGGCTTTAGACCCATCTTCACCATCTGATCAAACAGTGACAAGGCCTCTTTCAAATTTCCAACTCTGCATAGCCCATGAATCAGGGCATTAAAAGTATAAGCATTCGGCGAGCAATTCTTACTCAGCATTTTCTCAAACAAACAACCAGCATCGTCCACTTTCCCAGCTTTGCAGTATCCGTCAATCAGAGCAGAGTACATGATTACATTCGCACTCACTCCTTCCTTCGTGAGAGACTCAAACAAGCGACGGGCTTCTTCTACCCGCTTACTTTTACACAGAAAATCAATGAAACACCCATAAGTCCCCTGGTCTGGAACCAATCCTCTTTCTTTCATCAAACTAAGCAACCTATAAGCACTATCCAAATGACCAGCTCTACACTGTCCAGCAATCAACGAATTATAAGTAATCAAATCCGGAACCAAATTACGCTCTAACATCTCATCAAGAAGTCCCATTGCCTTATGCACATTCTTCCTACAAAGTCCTTTAATCAACGCAGTATACGTATAAACATTCGGATAACAAAAATCATCCTTCATTCTCACAAACAAGCTCACAGCTTCATCGATCCTCCCAGCTTCACAAAGACCATGTATAAGCTGATTGTAAGAAACCTCATTTCTATTAGGCATCTCTTGAAAAACCCGAAAAGCCGAATCGACATCTTTACTTCTACAATACCCGAGAATAAAAGATGTAGATGTGAAATAATCAGGACAGAATCCAGCTTGAATCATCTTACACATAAACTGCTTCGCCTCTTTCACAAATCCCATCTTACAATACACATTAATCATCAAATTAAACGTGTACATATCCATAGAAACGAAATTCTCCAACATCTCAGTATAAAGTTGATTCATTTCATCAACCAAACCAAATCTAGCCAACAGAGTCAACAATTCGTTATAGCATTTGAGAGTAAGCTTGGTAATATCGTCTTTACTCATTTTCCGACAGATGTCAGAAACAAACAAAGCGTCTGGCGCTGAATAGCAACACTTAATCATTGACACTATGATCTTAGGCACGTCACAGACAATTTTAGAGTGATCGATGAGAGTGAGAAGAGATGCATAAGAATCTACATTGTGTTTGAAATTCGGCGTCTGTGAGATCCAATACGAGAATTGAAGAGCTGTGTGAGGATCGAGATTGAGAGAGAAGAGTGAGGAGACATGGGAAGGGGTTATGGCGGGAAGAAAGGAATTGAGAGAGGGATTGTTTTGCCAATTGGGTTTGGAGAGAATTGAGAGTAAGTGATGTGGAAGATGAGATGGGTAAGATTCTGCTTCTGGAGGAGTATGTAGAAGCGTAGATGTGGAGGAGAACGGGACACGACGGAGGAGGTACACGGCGCGTGTAGAGGAGGTCACCGGAAGTTTCATCGATAGGGTTTTCTTTCAAGTATCTTCTTTTCTCGGTGATAGTGGGGGTGATTGGCAAGAGACTGTTAAGACTGTAGGCATTTTAACAGTTCTCACAGTCTATAGTTTTCCCAATCAGACTTTTTCAGATTTTTATTTTTTTTAAGTTCTCACAGTCTTTATTTTTTTGTTTCTTCTTTCTATTGCCTTTTTTCCTAAAGTCAGAATAATCGTGACTTTAAGAAAACTGTATTTTTTTTTTTTTTTTCCAAAGGTGTTTCTTTTATTGATATATACTTTCATACTACAGCATTCCAACAATGGAAAAACCATTTTGGAGAGTCATTAAGTAATACATAAGAAACTAAGCCTATAAACGATTTTAGCAACCGCGAAAGAAACAGATCAATCTATAGAAAGAGGCCAAAAGAAAATTTCAATAAAAATTAAAATACTAAAAAGAGCAAAACCGAATCTCTCACTTAACCCTCGTCCCAGGAACCCTTTACGCTTAACGCGCGACCCGGCGAAGCTATGAGTGCAATCCAGCCAACCCGAAACTTCTGAAAAATCCTCAACCACAGATATCCCAAAACTTGAAGAACAAAGTCACTAGTTGCTCCTCTCGGTATGAACTGACTTAGCAACTGATGTACTATTACGCACCAACTTACTTAAAACTACAACAAATATCAAACAAACGTATAAAAACTTAATAACTAAGCAAAACACGTGTTTCATAAAGAAACACATGTAAGCAGCCCACAAAGTGCCATAACCAAGACGACACGTGTTGTTCTCGTCCACGATGGGAAAAAGGTCACCGGAGAATTTTTGGCTAGTCGTATCTCCGGTATCCGCCGCCGTAGATACTCCATCACCTTCTAAGCCGACACCTTAGCACCAACAAAGTCCGCCAAAGGAAACTCCTTCACGGACAAGCATTGAAATCAAACGCCTATGCTAGCAAGTAGAGGTTGGAGTCTGGGCTGCTGCTGGTAGCATGCCTGAATTTTCTCCTCTTCAAAAGCATCCCGTGATGACGAGAAACAGTGAAGAAAATGGAGCGAAAGACGTCGATGCGTTGTACAACTTGTACTCAGGCGAAAGCCAGTCATGACGTCACCAAAGGGGCCGACGCAGACCGGAATCAAGCCGTCCATCGCCGCAAAAAGGAAACGGCTGATGACGGAAACAAAAGACGACCCAACCATCGCATAAGATGCCGGTGGTTGTCGGACTGAAACCGATTTAACAATCGGACGGCAAAACAGAGTTTCTCTCTCTGAAAAATTTGAGAAAACTGTAAAAAAAATATAAATCCAATTATTATTTTTTTTTTTCTTTCTTCTTTATTCTTCTTCTTTTAAGACAAATTAAAATCTCTTCATAGATCAATGATTATTTTATCACAACAAAATTTTGATTCATTAATCATTATTTTTTTATTTCCATTATTTTGAGATCCATTTCTTTTCATAATACTTCTCTCTTCTTCAAAATAGAACCCATCAATAGAACCCAGAATTTTATTATTTGAAGAAATATATAGAACTCATTAATTTAAATACTATGATATTTATATTATTTAAAGTCATGACACATGAATTTATTTTTAACATAATTTCTATTTATAGAAAATATTAAATTGTAATAAAAAATAACAGTCACAGTTTCTAAAGCAGAAGATTACCAATCAGATTTTAACAGTTAAAGTCTCTACAACAAAAGTCTCTATAGTCAAAGTTTCTACAGTTAAAGTTTCTAAAGCCAAAGTCTTTACAGCCAAAAGTAACAGCCGTTACCAATTGGCCCCAGTATCTGTACAAGTTACCAATTAGACAAGATTTTATTTTATTTTATTTTTACCTTTTTCTGTGATCACTTACTATGAGAGTTCTTCAGAAGATTGTGACTTTGTGTGTAACAATCGTGCTTACCTCATAAGCGTCAAGGCAAATTGCCTAATCCCACCAAAATAAAAATCATTAAAAGGTCACATTTCTTTAAACTTGAAACTTTTTTTGTTTTGTTTTTGCGATTCTCATTCATGCGAGGTGATGGGAGTTTGTAGACTCATGTTTCTCATTCAAGAATGTCCTTAAACGTGCAAATTGCCTAATCCCACCAAAATAAAAATCATTAAAAGGTCACATTTTAATAAAAATCATTAAAAGGTCACTAAGGAAGAAAAGAAACTAGAATGTCCTTAATCGGGCAAATAAGTTTTATGGATGCGTTAATCTCTTATGATTTAAGTAAATCTCTCTCCTTTCTTGTATTTGCTATATATCATCATCAACAAGAGCTCGAATGGTGAACCACACAAGCACAAAATCGTCCATAACCAAACGTTTCACTGTTTCAGGTTCGTTCAGATTTGATTTAGTATATAGAAAAAAGAGAAGTGAGACAAAATGAAAAACCATAAGTAACTCAATATATCAAAAGCCAAAAACGAAAGGGCTTCAGTAAAACACCGGTCTACAAACTCCCATCAACTCACATGGATGAGAATTAAGAAAACAAAAAAAAAGGGTTTCAAGTTCAAAGAAATTTTATTCGAAAACGACAAATTCAGACCATAAAAGAGGATGAACATATGACTTTCCACTCCTCGTCGTTCGAGATCTGCTTCTTAGCTTAGGCCTTTGACATGTGAACGATCAAGTCGACCACTCGGGAACTGTAACCCCATTCGTTGTCGTACCATGACACCAATTTCACAAACTTGTCGCTCAATGCAATTCCAGCCTTGGCGTCAAAAATGCTCGACCTGTTGTCACCAACGAAGTCAGTTGAGACAACATCATCCTCGGTGTATCCAAGGATTCCCTTAAGTTTGCCTTCAGATTCCTCCCTGTATATTGGTGGTAAGAACACTTGGTGAGTAAATTTGATCACTACTGCAATATAAGTAAACTTAATCTGTCATTGCCCTTAAAGCTTACTTGATAGCCTTTTTGATTTCATCATAGGTAGCAGCTTTCTCGAGTCTGACAGTAAGGTCAACAACTGAGACATCAACGGTTGGGACACGGAAAGACATGCCGGTCAACTTTCCGTTAAGGGCTGGAAGCACCTTTCCGACAGCCTTGGCAGCTCCAGTGCTGCTGGGAATAATGTTGAATGAAGCAGCTCTTCCACCTCTCCAGTCCTTCATTGATGGACCATCAACAGTCTTCTGAGTAGCTGAAATCATAAAGCAAACCCTATTAGATCACAATTTTCCACCTATAATTAAGCAAGTAAGTTTGTAATAAACTTCCAACTGATTGAGAAATTTACCAGTGATAGAGTGGACTGTTGTCATAAGACCTTCAACAATTCCAAACCTGTCGTTGATAACCTACACAATGAAACCCAAGAATGTTAATGAAATTAGTCACTTAAATTTGAAATACAAAGTCAAATTGGTCTTATAGACTATCAGATATTTTACCTTGGCAAGGGGAGCAAGGCAGTTAGTGGTGCAGCTAGCATTGGAGACAATGTCAAGGTCGGACTTGTATTCGTGCTCGTTGACACCAACAACAAACATGGGTGCGTCTTTGCTGGGGGCAGAGATGACAACCTTCTTGGCCCCACCCTAAACAAACAACAAGTCACTCAGTTAGTTGAATGATACTTCGCAAATTCTAGCACATGGAAGCAATTTATTTCAGTACTACACATAAATAACCAATTCAAATAAGACAAACCTTCAAGTGAGCAGCAGCCTTGTCCTTGTCAGTGAAGACACCGGTAGACTCAACAACGTAGTCAGCTCCAGCCTCGGCCCATGGGATATCCTCAGGGTTCCTTCACAAATACCAAAAACTAATGAGATTGAAATTCCCAACAGTTTATACATTTATATATGCAAGGAGGCAGAGAACTGGTTGATAAATGTACCTGATGCCGAAAACAGTGACTGGCTTCTCACCGAAGAGAAGGGTCTTCTCATCCTTGATCTTGAGTTCATTGTGTTTCCATTGACCGTGAACACTGTCATACTTGAACATGTAGGTCTGCAGCAATCAAAGACAACATAATCAATTAAAACGTTCAAAATCAACTCAATCATATAAACTTTTAATCACAAACAGGCCAATCAATAACATTACAAAGTTATCAAAAACAATCAACAGCTCAACAAATATTCTGATAAGCTAATCAATATGAACAAAGAACACTAAACCAGTTTCCGGATCTGAGCACTAACTGAACAAATCATCTAACACCTCTAACACACATACATAATCCATATGGATACGATCCATCTTCTAAATCTAACGAGAGTATCATCAAGGTATCAGAGGGACTAACAGAATCTTATCATCAAGGTATCAAAATGATATTTAACCAATCACTTTTAAAACCAAGGAAGAACACTAACCATGTACTCAGTGGTGATGAAGGGGTCGTTAACAGCGACGAGCTCAACATCGTCCCTCTGAAGAACAACTCTAGCAACCAAACGACCGATTCTTCCGAATCCTAACGATTGCAGCAACCAAAAGTCAGATTCTAGATCTAGATATACGAGAACAAACAAACACTAGTTACAAAATCGATCCGAAACTCACCGTTGATTCCGATCTTAATCTTCTTGTCAGCTACATAAAAAAAAAACAAACCAAATCAGAAAAACGATCAGATCAGAAAACAAAACACCGTAAAATAGCAGCGACGGAACGAGAGATCAGTATAAGCTCGAGACTCACCCATTGTTGAATCGAAAACGCGAGTGTAAGAGAGGTTGAAGATGAGATTCACAGAGAGAGATTTTACAGTGAGGATAGGTGAGTGAGAAGGGTCCGTGAAGGGTCTATTTAAAAGAGAGAAGAACGTGGAGGAGGGGTCGGAATGATCTAGTGGCTGAGAGTTTTTCTTGGCCAAAAAGTCAGATCTGATTCAATACTTTTCTTAAGATAAAAGACCAAATTACCCTTGATATTTTCCTTATTTACCGATGTAGCTCTGTTATTTTGGCAAATGTCGTCATTCCTAAGGCGAGTCATGGAAACTGCATCTCACGCGCTGATCTAGAATATTCTTTAAATCCTTGAGACGGGTCAGGTCGGCATGAAACGCAGCGTATTTGTACATGCTTTTATGCGCCGACCAGTGTTTGACTGCCACGAGTGCACGAGAGGCCCATTTTAGTAGACGGGTTCCAATTTCTAGAACGTAACGCCCAAATAAAAAATATTTAAGAAAAGTATATATTTCAACTCTTTAGGATACTTTCTTTATAAAAATATATATGATGGGTGTATATGGACAAGAATTTTAAAATTTTGATTTGATAACCAATGTCAATATAAAAACTTTCAAAAAAAAAAAGTCTCGATCCAAACTCTATCAGTGATGTATTTAATTCAAAAAATACTTCGTGATGGGTGAATAATTTTAGTGTTTACGTGAGTTAAATTATTACATGTGAATTTATACGGAAAAAACAAGTATTACATGTAACATTCTTTAAACTTTACAAATTACAACTGTGCTTTGTTGTTACTTATGACTTATGAGTCCTCTCCCGATCAGTTGCTATACTAGAGCTTATGAATGATGGATCACTTTTTACTTATAGAAGCTTTGAAGTTTGGTGAATAGTCGTGATACCTCTTGACGCATATGAAAGAGATGCAGGGCTAGTACTAGAACATGAGCAACTCCCGCAATGATGAACAAACCGCGCAACTCTCGGAAGGTGAATCGCTTAGATGCCTCATCATCGTCGTTGGTAGATGCAACTTCCTCGATGTTGGAATGTACATTTAATGAGTCCAGTTTCTGAAACCATCTTTTCTCCATGTCTTTCAACATTCCTAATGACCTTAGCTTCGCGATTTCTCGCGATACGTTAGGAACCAAATCCGAACCTTTCTGGAACATCTAAGATGTAAACATAGTAAATAAGAAATTAGTAACCAATAATGGAGAGAAAATGAGACGTTTGAGGAGAAAGGTACATACAAAGCCAAAGCCATTGGTATTAGTCACTCTATCAGTCATTACGAAATCATTGGGATAATTTCCGATAAGGATACTGAGATAAGGTATTTCATTGATGACATGAGTAAGAGTTCCATCTCGTAAAAGTTGTGCATATGCCTCAACTGCATTAATGGATCCGAGCTTCGCAGTCATTGACGTTGTAGATCCCCCGAAAACCATCTGATGGTTTAATTGCATGCGAGAAATGGTCTTGGTTGATGTCAAGTTTGCGCTGTAACTTGAAGTCAATATTAACACCACAAAAACCCAAACTATGACTAAGAATCTTGATGACATTTTTTGTAGCTTCTCTCCTGTCAAGAATGTGCCTTTGTTAAAGATCAAAGTATACAAAAGAATGGGATTTAATAAAAAGTCTAACATAAAAACTTACTGTGAGCAAACACAATGGTAGAGAATCCAAACCAGAGCATCATACTAAGCTGTTGTCCCCAAGAGCCCTGAAATTCCGGATTAACGGACCGTTCAACTAACCAAACAACAATCCCAGTCAAGACGAAGAAAGCTCCACTTGCTAGCCACAAGGATTTTTCAAAAGGATCAAAGAAAGTCCACATTCCTTGGCTTTTCTTTTTTACTGTCAAGATTCCAATACCAATGTCTGTGTAAGGCAAAGTAAAATCAACATACAAAGATCTGTTGGAAGTGATGGTGATATCACCAACTGCTGCATCATATTTGTCACTCTGTCAAAAATAGAAAAATTGCAAACACACATTATTAGACACATACATACCATTGTGACTAGAAATTTTTTTAACCATGTTGTTGGCATTTGCATACCTGAGTAGAGAGTAGATAAGCAAGATTGTCATTGTTTCCACGATAAGGTATGAATTCAAGCTCGTAGTTAAAAGGAGCAATGCAAGTCTTGAAAACCTCTACGCAGAATCCTGAGACTGTATTAACACCTGTTTCAGGATCGGGACGCACCGACACTAGATTCGGGACCTTGTTTCCTGCGGTAACTAAGACCCTAAGCAACTTCTTTTCACCTTTCTCTGCCAAAACACGGTGTCTTGGGATCTTACGAGACCCGCCAGGCCAAACAATCTGTCTTCTTTGGCTAAAACTACCACCACTCCATAACCCTATCCTTCTCTGTTTTTCTCTTCCAATATTCACGATTTCAAATGTCTCTAAGATAAATTTGTTGTCAGAGATGTGGATGTCACCACTCAAACCCTTGAATTTACTATGTCTAATTGTATCCAGAAGATCAGCTGATACATTCGAAGATGCTTCAGCTTTACCTCTTACACTAATCTTCTCTACTGCAATTGCTAGAATACAAGCTATATCGTGTGCTCGTAAACCGATGATTTTACTAGAATGCTCTGTTTCTGTATCATCACCCATAAGTTTCCTCAATCTTGAAGTAAAATTCGTTTCTTCTTCAGATACGGGAATGTAAGATTTGAAACCAATGACCCCTTGCATTGACCTGGTTGTTGCAAAACGTTCCAAGTAGTTCATGGTTCTCACAGTGAGGATCCAAGCAAACCCTTCTTCCGTCAAACCTAACTTCTCAACACATCGAAAAAGACGAGAAACAAGAAACTCAGACATATGCACCACGAAAACTGTTGTTCTTGATACCTTGAGCTTCCGTAGCTGATTCATCATATGATTTTCTCCTGATGATGAGACTCCAAAAGAAGCAGAACGAGCGATATGGATTCCTTTATCTTGAAAATTCTCAACCAATATTTGCAAACTCTCTCTCCAATCATCAGCATCCTCGTATATAACCACAACCGATTTCCAGCTAAAATCTTTTATGAGACTCGTAACCCCCTTAGCCTCTGACTTCGTATCATGCGTCCATTGAATAAAGTGATCGTATTTGTTCAAAGATAACGTGTTTGGCAAGAAAGTAGATATGACCGGAACTTTAGCTTTTTCGCTAATCGTTGCCAAAAGCTTTGCTTCCTGTAATGATTGTGCACCAACAATGGCTTCCACTTTTGCATTTTTTAGAAGATCAGTAGCTGTTTCATACAATCAAATTGTAGTGCGAAACGGTTAGTCAGGTGACGCAAGACATGAAAATGTTAACCGGAGTAAACCGGCACGACTAGGTCAATTCTTTTTTATTTGATTCGGTCTGCTTTAGATGAGTTATTATATCTGTCTATAAGAGTTGTGGATCCCACCAAAAAGATATATTAAGACAAATGCAATAATTGAATAAGGGAGATGAAACTCACCGGCGGCAAGAGCAATGATCGGGTCACCTTGGGAGTCTCTGACCAAAACAGAGACTCTGGTTCGGTATCCATTGTTGATGCCATAGAAATCTGAAAGCGCCAAGTTAAAAGAAGTCTCCAGAATCTTGCTTTGTATAGAACTCAACTCAACCACCAATCCAACCCTAACCTCTTCGAAAACATCGTCGTTTGGACCAGCTACTACTCCGGAAAAGAGAAGAGCAAGAATGGCAATAGAAATCAGAATCTCCATTTAACTTCTTGTATAGCTTTGTACCGTTCACTTTGGATTATAGAAAATGGTGTTTCGATATCTACTTGTGCAATGGGTCCATGGAATAACTTCTTATACTGAACTTTTTATTTTTTTCGGTCAAATGCAGTTGGATTTTTCTGGAATGTATGGTCAAAATCATTTTAAATCAAACTAACGCGATATCACACATAATCAAAGTCAATGCGTACTGTTCATCGATACAAATTCTTCGATATAAACACACATTTGTTTTCTAAAGTATAGTTGAGCCTTAAAACAAAAAAAAATGTTTAGTTTATGTTTTTCATCAGTTACTTTTAAAATTGAATACAATGTAAATTAAATATGCAGGGGAAGCCATAATACTAGATATATTAGCTTATTTAACAGAGTCAATTCGTAGTAGTAAACATTACATGTGACATTCATTTTAAGTTTATAACTTTCCCCTTTGTTCTTGTTACTTAAAAATACTCTGCCGAAATTTATACCGCAGCTTATGAATGATGGATCCTTTTACTTATAAAAGCTTTGCAATATGGTGAATTCGTAAATTCTTTTGCTTTTCACTACTTTTGCTTATTTTGATTGAATTGTTATGGTTTCACATCGCATGCGATGTCTACAAAAAAAAAAGTTGTTTTACATCATTTATTTTTAATATTTGTATTAGTTATAAATAAAATAAATGACTTTAAAAGTAGTGATGCAAACAATTTACATCAATTAGTTAATAACCGATGTTAATATACAAAATATTTACATCGATTCTTGTAATCCATATGAATATGTGTTAGTTGCAAAAAATAATGTTATTTTTTACATCAAATTTAATTAAGTGATGTTAGTATTAGACTATTAGTTAATTAAACATCATAATTCCGAATTACTTTTTCATTTCTTATTCATAAATTTTCAATAATTTTGAAAGTAACGTTTTTAAGGATAAAAAAATTCACATCTTTATATATTTTGGATCTAAAAAATTTGCGATAAATAATTTAGATAACAAAAAATTTAAGGATGAAAATTTGTGATAAACATTTTAAATAAAATAAAAAAAAAGCTAGCATGATTTCTGCAAAATATCCAATTTGTGAGGACCCTAACGCTCGAATTTGTCACCACTTGGCTCAATCATGCAACTTTTGAAAACTGAAACTCTTTTTTCTCAACTCCGTTAGATAATAGAGATATACTCGAGACGATCGAGCTTCGTCAAATGGAGACGGCTCATACAGTATACGAAGAAATTTAAATCATCAAGTAAGAATATGTATGATCATGCTTCACGATAGAACAGACGAACACCACCAGAAGATGAACCACTACCGTCTTTTCCCAATCGTAAGAGAGCCATATTGTCGCATAAGTTATCACGTAACTCGACAATCGCTTGGTGCCTTTGCTTCAGCTCCTCCACGCTCAAGCCTTTCGAAGGAAAGTTCCACCACATTTTGTCTAACTTCTTTTGATTTCTCGATTCCTTCAGCAGTTTCAACTTCTCTAGATCCATCGCAAGCTCCTCCTCGAGCGCCTGCATTTTTTTTATGAGGTCATGGAACCTTCGTTTCTTATAAGCTTCCACGAGGGGTCTCGTATCATCTTTCGCTAATGGTTCTTGTCTCGAAGGGTTCTTTAACCGGTCAGCCACTTCCTCCATAGACGGATGTGCGAATGTATACGGCTTCTTGGCTTGAGAGAAAATCAAGAAAGCCACTTCAACGTCACACATTGCTACGAGCTCGTTCATTTTCTTGAAAATTCCGGCTTTACGTTTCGAGAACGTAATCATCCTGTCTCCATAGTTTTCCACCTTCTTCATCTCGATCTTTTGCTTCCCCTTTGTTTTTCTTCCCTTTGCTTGCTTCGTTGACATGTTTGCATCAACCACAAGTGTTTGATTTCTTGTAGGTGTTTTATTTTGTATGTCATGCACAAACATGATCTATTAATAGGGAAGTAAAGAAATAGGATTTTGTTACGAAGTTTGTAGACATTTAATCTAAATCTTAATTATGAAGATAATGTATTGACTAATTTACAAATTAAATTTTTTGACTAAACACATTTGGCAACCTATTTAACATCTTCATTAATCAGTCAATAAACTATTATGGTAACCCAATTGGTGTATAGCTGGTCTAAAGGCGAAATGACCATTCAAGAGATATGTTGTTTAGGTAATTACGAGTTTGTGTATCCCTTACATGGGACATAATAACATTCTTTGATTTTAGAATCGAATTCAATATATATAGAAGGAAAAAAACATTATAAGTTTAATTTTAGGTTGGAAATAATGTTAATCTCTTTTCTTTGGAATAAAAATAACTTTTAGAGATCAATTTTCTCTAGCACATGAAACACATCAAAAATGTTTCCTCTCATAGGCTAACAGCTAACTAATATAAAAATCCACGCTTTTCATATGCTTAATTTAAACTCTAATAAAACTTAATTAGACCACGTATAATTTCAACTAATCTTCAATAAGTGAAATATATTTTTATATTTTTTGTAATCTCTGTAAGACTATCGGTTAGGTTAATCATTCAAAGATATCTTCGTTTCATAGAAAAAAACAATAAAAACAAATTTTAAAACGAAAAAAAAATCTATTTGAGGAGAAAAATAGCTGTGACGAGAAAGCCAAAGAGGCGACGTACCTAACCACAACCAGATCCCCAAAAACAGAGAACTTCTCGATACGAACGCCAAAGAGAAGAAGACGAAGAAGATGATGGGTGTGGTGAAGTCGGCGATTGGGGATATGTTGATGACCTTCTCTTGGGTTGTCCTCTCCGCGACCTTTGGAATTCAGACAGCGGCGATTATCTCCGCCGGCGATTTACAGGGAATCACTTGGGCTCCGTTGGTGATCTTGACGTCGTTGATTTTCGTCTACGTCTCGATCTTCACCGTTATCTTCGGTAGCGCTAGCTTCAATCCTACCGGAAGCGCCGCCTTTTATGTCGCCGGTATCCCCGGAGATACTCTTTTCTCCTTGGCGATTAGATTACCTGCTCAGGTTTATACAATTCTAAAGATCCAAACTTTTTCAGAATTTTTGGATTTTTTTCAGCTTACTCTTTTGGGTTTACTTGGTTTTATAGATTTAGTCAATATTTGTGATCTGTGATAGTTTCTTTCAAATGGGTATAGGCTTGTGTTTCGTCTGTGAATTAGAATCTTGTTTTGTATGAATCTTTGAATCTCAAGCTATGTAGTATATGCTTTTCTCGTGATTTGTCCCCACTTGTATGCCCCGTTTTAGATTGGTTGAAGTAGGATTAGACTTTTTTTCTTGCTCGATTTCATCATTTTGGTACATATGATTCTGATCTTCTGTTGTTCGTATATTCTCACTTTCATCTATTTAGTATACACAGGATCAGATTCTTTTTTTTGTTGATGTTTGTGTTTCCCACTTAATTGAAAGCAGGAAAACGAAACCTTATCTTTCTCGTCGATATGTCTTTGTTTTTTCTTTAGCCTTTTCTGGAGTTTCTTGCGTGTCCATGTGTTTCTGTGTACTATAATAACATAAATAGATAGAAAGACTGTTAATTGGTAAACCTGATTTAGCAAGGAGTCATTTGTACTCTTTTGATATTTGAATTGAGCAAGATGACTTTATTGCCTTTTGGTAGGAATAGTCTTCATGATCCCTCTTTTTCCCTGTTTCTTGATTTCGACGGGATGATGTTTGAAAAGGAGATATGATATAGTACATGTGATTCCAGGCAGTTGGTGCGGCAGGAGGTGCATTGGCCATCATGGAGTTCATACCAGAGAAATACAAGCATATGATTGGAGGACCTTCTCTTCAGGTTGATGTGCACACTGGAGCTATTGCAGAAACGATCTTAAGTTTTGGTATTACCTTTGCGGTTTTGCTGATTATCCTCCGTGGTCCACGGAGATTACTCGCCAAGACATTCTTGCTTGCTCTTGCAACCATCTCATTTGTTGTCGCTGGGTCTAAATACACTGGACCAGCCATGAATCCTGCCATTGTAAGTATACATTATGTCTCATTCCTTTAGCTGATATATTCAGTATAGATGGATGATTTTTCAATATCTTTCTTGTGCTTGCAATGCAGGCATTTGGGTGGGCATACATGTACAGCTCCCACAACACATGGGACCATATCTACGTCTACTGGATCAGTTCTTTCGTAGGAGCATTATCTGCTGCATTGCTCTTCCGTTCTATCTTCCCGCCACCTCGACCCCAGAAGAAGAAACAAAAGAAAGCCTAAGGAAAACCAGTTGGGAGAACACCGGTCAGATTCTTCACCGGTTTGGGCTGTAGAAAGAAAGATTAAGAAAATTGTTCCATTCTTAAATAAGGAGAACATAAAAAGGAATCAAATCTCCTTCTCATTGTTTAGATTCACGCTTATTTTTATGGATTCTCTTCTATGTTACTTCCTTGTTCATAAGATATCCCCTTCTCCTTCTCAATGTCTGTTACCTCTATCTCTCTTCTCTGCTACTTTCGGTTTAGTAGCGTCTAGATTATCAATGTCTGGTTTAGTTTGGTTCTATTCGGTTTGTTTTCTAATTTGGTTCTGAGAACAGAGAGCAAAAAGATTCATTCAAACCGATTGGTTTTGGTAGGATTTGTTTGGCTTGGTTTTAGGAAGTATTTAATTAACATAAGCTCAAATTGGCCTTAATTTATTGAATTTTGTTGTCTAAACTTTACACTAAAATCAGCTTTTCGTGGATGTTACCCAATTCTCTTCCGTAATCGTTAAATTTATAACGTAACGTCTTTGTTTTGGTCGTATCAAAATTTCACGATTCAGATCTGTGGCAGAATTTGAATCGAAGCATAGGATAAATCCGGTAAGCAGCCGTAACTTGCAATCGATCGCCGATCTGGATCCGTTAAAGGATCCGTCGCAGTCCTTGAAGACATCGGCCACCGGAAACAAGATCCGTTACCGTTCGCCTTCCGCTTCTGAGCTACTGGAGTCAGGACTAGCCACCGGATTGTCCGGTAACCATTCTCCTACCTCCGACTCTCATCAGGGACTTCTGTCTATCGACGGAGGGAAAATGACGGCGAAGCGAGCGATCGGACGGCACGAATCCCTTGCTGACAAGGTCCATCGACATCGTGGTCTTCTACTTGTGATTTCGATTCCCATTGTGTTGATAGCTCTTGTGCTTCTGTTAATGCCGGGGACGTCGACGTCTGTCTCTGTCATTGAGTACACGATGAAAAACCACGAGGGAGGTTCGAATTCCAGGGGTCCGAAGAATTACGCTGTGATTTTTGATGCTGGGAGTTCTGGAAGCCGTGTGCATGTTTACTGTTTCGATCAGAATTTGGATCTTGTTCCTTTGGAGAATGAGCTCGAGCTCTTCTTACAGGTATTCATTGCATTTCTTTTGCTCTTCTTTCTTTAGATAGTTTAGCATTTTATAAACGTTATGCCTAAGTGTTGTTTTTTCTCCGATAATGAGACCTTGCCTCAGGCTCATGAACGATCGCTCGTTGGCAATGCTAGATCAATAGTCTGATTCGTATCAAATTTGTAACCAATGATGTAGTTAAGTTTCTATTTTTAGTTTTGGAAAACCGCATGGGATTTGTTTCTATACTTTCTTCAAAATGAAGTTGTGTGGAATTCTCCCATTAATGGGGAAATGTGTTTTTTGTTATAGTGGGAATGAGAAGAAGAAGCTACCTGTTTGCTAGTTTTTGTGCTTTTGATCCTGCTCTCAAGTTCGTTCCTATTTGTAATATCTTCGCTTAAAACTCTTCACTCCTGTAATTCCAACAAGAAGCTTAAATGGAAGATTCCCTTGTTCATTGTGCTGCAATGTTTGTTATGCATTTTGGTGGCATTTTGAGCTTGCAGGAATCTTTGTGTCTGAACTTTTATTGTGATATTGTTTCAGCTAAAACCGGGTTTAAGTGCATATCCTAATGATCCTCGGCAGTCAGCAAACTCTTTGGTATCTCTTCTGGACAAAGCAGAAGCTTCTGTTCCCCGTGAGTTGCGTCCAAAGACTCCTGTCAGAGTTGGGGTATGAAACGAGTTCTTTCACACAAAGACAAGTAAAGCTATTAATGTGATCATCCATTTTATTGTTAATCATCTACTGTTTTGCATTATATCCTTTTCAGGCAACCGCAGGTTTGAGGGCTTTGGGTCACCAAGCCTCTGAAAACATTTTGCAAGCGGTAAGTTGTGTATATGAATTCTAAAAACATTCGCCTGCTTGCCTAGCTTGTAACTAAAATGTAATTTTGTGTTTAAGGTTAGGGAGCTCCTGAAAGATAGAAGTAGGCTGAAGACTGAGGCAAATGCAGTGACTGTTCTGGATGGTGCTCAGGAAGGATCTTATCAGTGGGTATGTTGTAGATCTTTCCATCTATTAGAATCAGATTTTAATTCTGTTGTATTATGGTTACACTTTTGTACCTGTATTTGTTGTGTTTCTGTACATCTTTCTTAAGTCTTTTTATCTTAAACCTGTAGTCAAGTTTTAATTTTCTTCAAATTGCCCATTGTTAAGGTGACAATTAACTACTTGCTAAGGACTTTGGGAAAGCCGTACTCGGACACAGTTGGAGTGGTTGATCTTGGAGGGGGGTCGGTTCAAATGGCGTATGCTATACCAGAGGAAGATGCTGCAACTGCACCAAAACCTTTAGAAGGCGAGGATTCTTATGTCAAAGAAATGTATCTGAAGGGACGAAAGTATTTCCTCTATGTTCATAGGTTGGTTATCTGTCATTGCTTTTGTACTTATTAGATTTTTTCTTTGTTCTATGTTTACATGCTATACATAAAACTGTGTTTGATTTATCCTTCAACTTTAACGCAATATCTTATCGGTTTGCTATTTGCAGCTACCTACATTATGGGTTACTGGCTGCTCGGGCTGAGATTTTGAAAGTCTCTGAGGACTCTAACAACCCCTGTATCGTGACTGGCTTTGCTGGTAAGTTAAAGCTAGAATTATGGAACACGTTAGCTATATTCTGAAGTTCTAGTACATATTAGATTGCACGTTCAGTTTCCTTCAAATCGAGTGATTCGTTTCAGGTACCTACAAATATGGAGGAAAAGCGTTTAAAGCCGCAGCTGCTCCATCCGGTGCAAGTCTAGATGAATGTCGGCGAGTAGCTATTAACGCACTCAAAGTCAATGATTCACTGTGCACACACATGAAATGCACATTCGGTGGAGTATGGAATGGTGGAGGCGGTGGTGGCCAGAAGAAAATGTTTGTTGCATCATTTTTCTTTGATCGAGCTGCAGAGGTAATATTTAATTCGTCTTCTATTTGACTTCATAAAGCACTTATGTAACATGGTATTGTTCGACCACTAGTCTTTGAGCCATCACCGACAATAACATGAACGATGATGACAGGCTGGTTTTGTTGACCCAAAGCAACCTGTGGCTGAGGTTCGACCACTTGACTTTGAGAAAGCGGCCAACAAAGCTTGTAGCATGAGAATGGAAGAAGGGAAATCGAAGTTCCCACATGTGGAGGAAGATAATCTGCCTTACTTGTGCTTGGATCTTGTTTACCAATATACTCTTCTGGTCGATGGATTCGGTATGTTACTCTTTCCTGGCTTTTTCAAAACCAAAATCTTAGTTTACATATATTATGGGTGACCATGATTATGGTTAGTATACATGATAGTCCGATAGAGTTCTGATAGTTGAGTGATGTATCATTATCATTGGAAGCCATAGTGAAAATATGTTAGAAACCAAATAGAGAACTCCTTCCTACTTGAAACCTTGCATTGTTTCAAGATGTATTTTGATTTTCCAAATTGAAAATCTGTTTAATCTCAATTCTAATAACAATATATACAGGATTGAAGCCATCACAGACAATAACGTTAGTGAAGAAGGTGAAATACGGAGATTACGCCGTGGAAGCTGCGTGGCCACTAGGAAGCGCCATAGAAGCAGTATCCTCACCATGAGGAAAGGCAATTTTGGGTATTTTGCACAAAACCCCATATTCTTTTGATTTCTCCCAAAATCTCGCTCGAACTTCTTTTTTTCTACTTTAAAATTTTGTTATTATCGTAATCATTAGTTCCTTACTATCGATTTTCGTTACAATAATCATCTAGAGAAGAGAGTTTCGATTCTTAATATAATCTAATTTTTCTTTTTCTTTGTAAACTTAACTGCATACGTGTCCTCTATTTATTTCTCATAAATATTTTCCTAATTGAGCGTTTTCTCCTTTCACAATTGAGAGAATTAGAATCTTTCCTCTGTTTTTTTTTCCTTTTTCTTACTAAAACCTGCAATTATTGGGGATTTGATTGATTTATTTAGTAAAAATATATTTCCCGATGCATAGTCTATATATCACAATCCCAATAAATTCCCATATCAAACCAATATGTTTTCCCTTGAATTCTTTGTTGATCAAAAGAAAAAGGAAAAATTCGAAGATAAGTGTATGAATGCAAAATAGACTAAGAGATGAGGTTTGACCAGTCAAAGTTAGGAACTACTTTGATTTATGACCGTTTACACGCCCACCCATTCAATCTCATGTCACCAGCTTGACTTCGAGGACCAAAGTAACACGTTAATAATACTTCTCATAAACAATTGGAAGTTCATATGTTTTAACGTTTCTACATTGAATTTAAACTTTAAATATCAAAGTATGCGTTTTTTTTGCATATTATAGATTGCGTAGCCTTGCATAGCTAATTAGCTTGTACATTGAAGGTTCGAATTTTCCAACGTAGTGCCAATTAAAACATGTTAAAAAGAATTTTTAGTACATGTGTTGATAAAAACTTTAGGGTAGGAAAAAAGAAACTTTTTTTGTCTTCGAGGACTTTAAAGTATAAGATGTTGATTGGTGAGTAGTTGCAAGCTTGACAAGTGGGTGTTCAAATTTGAGTAGAACAAGTAAGCGTTCATTGTATCTAACCACACCCAAGACCACACTTATTGAGGAGATAAACAAAAATCTTTATTTTGTTAGATATTTTCTTAATAGAAGGATCCATACCCATATCTTTATCTTTGTAAAGTAGAGAAACAGAAAGAAAGAGGCGGAAATAAGTGCTAAAAGTACAAAATACCATTCCTAAATTACGTAAAGAGACCACTATTCAACTAAGTTAGTACCCATCATTCCATAAACGAAAAAGTAACCTCAAAATAAAAAGAGTAATGTGGAAAAAGGAAGAAAATAATGTCAATTAAGATGAGCATATTAGTAAACTCTATAATATATTTGCTTAGAATTTCTTTTTTTTCACAAGTGAAGATTTTATTGATAACATGACATACATCGACAAATAAAACATACAACACAGAGTCCAATTTCTAAATTTGCTTACAAATTTAGTAGATATCAATATGTCTAAATTGAAAAAAAAAAATTATAAACATTAGTCGTAAATGAACCAAATTTGATGAAAAAAAAACGTAAATCTTATATAGGAATAATACGATGAAATTATCCATATATCATTTTGTCATGATTTTTGGTTTCAAATTTTTTTGTTTTAAAACAGTTACATTCAAGTGGATAATATCAAAACTTTGTATGAGGAGTGTGGACTTACTTCATTCTTTTGGCATATGCTATCTTTTTCGGTTTGTCTTATTATAAATTTATAATACTTCTATAATTTTTTTTCTTTTCTTAAAGTAGGTTTCTTTAGATTTTGGCGTTTTCCGATTTTCTACAACCGTCTATTTCTCCTTATTATTTTATCTACAACTTACGACTTTAGAACTTCGGCCAAAAGAAGGGACTTTCTTCTCAAAACATTTCTTGAACATCCAAAGTCCAAACAATTATATAATGTTCTAACATTCAGAATGATCGAGGTATATATATGTTCTGAAATATTAAAAACAATTATTCACTGGTCTATATTCAAATAACTCGTCTGGTATCATTTTTTTAAGATCAACACTATTCGTCATTGTAGCTGTAACTTTTATGAATTATAAGTTCTTTTTTATGTTATTCAAACTAAACTATCCACACAGTAACCTTTTCTTATTAGAAAACGATTACAAACATATAAAATGAGCATGCTTCACCTATAATTCTAGCTAGGTGCAAAATTGTTGACATAGACGATTCAAAAAAGTCACACGTGTGGTTGCATGCACGTTGACTATATAATTTTCCGTGCTTCTTACTTTATTACGACGTTTTAATTGGTTGATTATATATTTTAATATTTGAAGGAGACTTTTGGAGATTATTAACTTTGAAAATTTTATTTTATTTAACTTACTGACGTATGAGAAACTCCATTTCGTACAAAGCAAACAAGAAAGTCACATTTTGATCAATTTTCTTGCCAAGTGTTTTATCCGAGCTGTTTTGAAAGACTTGTCGTGTAACATGTATTCTTTACAGTTGCAGTTTTTGTCATAGGTTTCCTTATATTTTATGTGAAGTTTCATAATCAGTACATTTAACGTTGATGTCACATTATTTGACTATTAATAAAATGAAACTATACACTTTAACAAAAAAAAAAAAAGTATATATACAGCAACAATATGAAAAACTGTTCGTAAATGTGCTATAAAAGATATTGATCTTTCAATGCGTTAGCATATATGATATATATATATGGCTTCTGAGCTAGACGTTCAGAAATTTTTATATGATATAATTAGATCAAAGTTATCTACTCCATTTTATTATGATAAATTTTATAGATATTCAACTTAATTAAAATAATCTGATAGTGAGCAGATAGACTTATTTTTGTATTACTTTAAATACTAACTTATTTATGATACTAGATTTCGACCACCTATAACTACTATCAGATTATCAATTAATGTTTCGAAAAGAAATTGCAAAACTAGTAGAAGATTTTAATATTTTATCATGTACATGTTTGAGATATTTCTGATGATCATCCCTTAGTTATTCGTGTAAATTATAATTGGCAACCATATACTTTTTTCTGAGAAGAAATGCTTGTATTTTGAAGTTTTTTTTTTATTGGTCGGCTTTCGTAGTAGTATCTTTCTATACGGTGAAGGGTGAACGAAAGTTCAATTATTGGTTTAATTGATTGCACCATTATACCGAAATATAAATAGCTGGAAAAATAAATAACTGCCACGTATTTAAAAGTTAGAAATCAAAATCAAGGGTATTTTGGGTTAGCGTGTGGTTTGCGTGTGTGTGTGAATGCCGATGTGGCATGTCATTATCATTTAATTAGAAAAAAAAACTTTATCTGAAAAATGTATAATAACATAATTCTAGGATAATTAACTTAGTAAACTACGTTTTAAAGAAACGTTAAATAGATCATGTGGGTGTTTATGATTCCACGTTTGCTCTTCTGAGAAGAAACAAATGTTTTTATTTGGTTTGCATCCCACCAAGAAACATATCAAATTAAGATTAGTTTAATACTTGCTTCATTAGACTAAACACGTTATTACTTATAAATTATACTAACATAAATCAAAATTATTGGTATTTTATTTTGGGTCAACAAATTATTGATCTTTAACCTTTTACACATGGCAGAGTGGCACTGGTCAAGGATTACATTTGTTTTTATATATGGATTTGATTCAAAGTTTTGTGTTAGTTCTTATCTCATTTAATCCAATCAAATCTCGGTTTGTTTAAAGTTGTAATGATTAATTTTTTTTAATGTTCTACTTTTTTTACTCACCTTATTCTTATTCATGATAACTTTTTTAATGTTCTACATCAAAGCAGAGAAGAGATACAAATCTTCTTAAGCATTATAGGGATAACAACTATGCAGTATATATTACAATTATCCATTAATTTACTTCACAATTGTTCATGCCATGATGATGAGTATGAAAAAAAGAAACAATTGTGTAAAGGATTTTGTCATTTTAAAGTTGTTCTTATCCCTTTAGTTTATATTTGAGGGAAGAGGAAAATCTCTTTCATATGTGTGATTTCTATTTTTGTACATACTACCTAATTTCACCATTTATGAATGATAATTGCTATCTATGTTAGAAAAATAGGGAAAATTCAATTAACCTTACAAAATTGGAAAAGTTCATGAATCAGATAAAGCAGCAAGAAAAAAAAAAAAAAAAAAAAAAAAAAGATAAAGCAGCAAGCATCGCATTCAAAACAATACGTTCATTCAAAATAATACGTTAGGCTTTACGTACTGTTTTATTGATATTAATTTTTCTTACAGAAATTGAAGATAAATAACTCAAACCAAAAAAGAAGTGAATTTACAATCTCATGATCTTATTTTACATTATATATAGAAATATGCATTATGCTATAAGTTCATCATTTCAGGTTTTTCTCGAAACAATTCAATATATTTTCACTCTGAAAAAGGATACAATAATAAACTAAGACTAGAGTATGATGATTGCGTCATCAGCCGCATCTGGGCTTACGTGGATATGGTTAGGACAAAAGTAAAATTAACCAATCAAATGTCATCCCAGAGGACACAGCTGTCTCATTTGGGTCCACTTCTCTAACAAAACTTCTTCAATTATTCACACTCAATACAATGACACATACAAACAATTAAATAATATATTAAAAATATTTGAAAACGGAAATTTTGTGTTCATACTTAGGTCCGAGCATGATTATCCATAGTGTCTTAGAAATAAATCTTAGGAATATTTAAGTAATATATTTGTAAAATATGGATCTTAACTATGTTTTTGTTGCTTAGCTAAGAAACTCTCTTAGCAATAATGGCTTAATTGGGATTTAATTTTAATCATTTATTGCTAAGATCCAGTTTAAGATTTTCTTAAGAACCTGCCATTAATCATGGTCTTACTATGTTATTGTATTTTTTGGAAAAGCTTGAGGACTATTTCTTGTAAGTATATAAAAATTATGTACTCAGAATTTCGGATTCAATCCCTAGATATACATTTATCAAAACAAATCCAATTTGAGTTTTATTTACAAATGCAAATTTGCAATTTAATATGACATGGATCTCAGACTTTACAAAATAATAAAGTCTAGAAACTACGAACACGTAATTAGCAATCTTTGTTTTGAATGTATAAACAATGAAGTCTTTACATAAAAAGTCTAATTAGACAGAAATAATGCATTTAATATTAGGAGAAGATATAGACTACGTGCACAAAACGACCAAAATTTTGAGTAA